TAAATATGCTTAATATACATACTGTAGTATATATGCAATAATTATATGATCTGAAATCTGTCTCATTATGTAGATTTTTGCTTACATTAGGCTTTTTTTCTTCCCATTCCCACAGTGCTGAATCCAGGGCCTCATGCCTGCCAGGCACATGTTCTACCACTGGATTACATTCCCAGACCTTTAGTTTTTTGAGACAGGGTCTTGCTAAGTTGCTCAGACTAGCCTTGAACTTGCAACACTTCTGTCTCAGCCTTTAAGTAGCTGGGATTATGCGTGGGTGTGCACCTGGCCCAATATTAGGTTTCTTTTATGTATTTTATGATTTCATATTGAAAACTCTGTTTTTGTATGAATTATTTCAGAGTTTTAAATGTGTTTCTTAAAAAAGAATTTCTATTAGCTTCTGTCAGGTTCTTGTCATGAGGTTTCTCTTGTTATGAGGTTTATAGAGTTAATGTAAATTTGGATAAAAAACCAGCATGAATAAAGGGCTGTAGTTACAAATTCTCAATGAGGTTCAGTACTATCACCTCTTCTATAGCTTTTTTATGAGATGGATTTTTGCTGTTTTCCAGACTGGGGTTGAATTCCTAAGCTCAAGTGATTCTCCCACCTCAGCTTCCCAAGTACCTGTAACTACAAGTGTGCACCACTATACCCCACCTGAGGTACAGATTTAAATGCAGGTTATAAGGTGATCTCAGGAAGGACAAGGAGGAAACTATAGAGCAACTGCCATGGAAAAAAGCAAATGGATGGTGTTAAAGAGCTTTTTATTACTGTAACAAAATACCAGAGATAATCAACTTATAAGCATTCAGAAAGATTTGTTTTGGCTCAGTTTTGGAGGTTTCAGTCCGCAGTTGCTTGGCTTGTTGCTTTTGGGCCTGTGGTGAGGTTGTCTATCACGACAGGAACATGTGGAGGAAGATATGTACCTAAGGATTGCTGGGAAGCGAGAGAGAGAGAAAGGCAGTCCCAATATCTCCCTTAAAGGCACATGCTCTCCCCAGTGACCTAACCTCCTTCCACTAGGCCCCAATTCCTAAAGGTTCCACCTCCTCCAAGTAGCACCACAGAACGCTGACCAAGCCCTCAATACACGGGCCTCTGGGGGGACATTCAAGATCTAAACTACAGGAGATTATATTGATGAGTTGGCTGACTCTGTGGATATCAGGATAGTATCAATGGAAGAACCTGGAAGACTGAGTTGGCCAAGGAGTTGTCCCATCTGAGGAGCAAGGAGCTAGGCTATTTATTCACAAACTCCCACGGCAATAGTTGAAGGGTGTTCTAGGAGGAATTAACTCCCAAGCATTTCCCATTTCTTAGGAGTGTGGCCTACTCCTGCAGCTGGAGAAGGCCCTCAAGCAGTCACTAGTGTTTACATGAAACGTGGGACAGTAAATGGGAAAATTAATGGGCCAGGAACCTACTGCACCTACTATATGATTTTCTCACTCTTTTCTTATAGTATTGGGAATAGAACCCAGGGCCTTGCATATGCTAGACAAGTGTTCTATCATTGAGCTACACCAGCCCTTAATTTATTTTTATTCTAAGACAGGGTCTTATTATGTTGCTCAGATTGGCCTCAAACTTATTATCCTTCTACCTCAGCTTCATGAGATGCTGAGATTACAGACATGCTACTACATGATTCTTATTTTTTCCCTGGGGATTAATCTCACTCAGGGCCTCACCACTAAGCTACACTTTCAGTCCCCTCTTATATATCTCCCAACTTAATGGGTTCTTTTCCTACAGTGCCAGAGAATCTGTCTTAGGGGATTTTTTAGGCTGATTCACCCCAAGTTTTTACCTTATCTCACTGTTCTGGAAGGTGAATTCAGGGTGGTTGGGACCAGCTCAGGAATGATCAAATTGAATAGTCTTGTGGAATAAGTATTGAGATTTAAAAAAGACTCCACAATTATATTGAACCCTGTGGTTTTGCTGGAGGAATGGATGGCATTCTTGGCAGAACTCAAGAAATGTGAAAGAGAACCAGGTGTTTTGTGGCAGGTATAACTAAGACATTGCTGTCAAAGTGCTCTGTCACAGAGCAGGTACCTTCCTGAATTGGGTGAATTATGAACCATGACTTGATACTGACTGGTAAGACCATCTAAAATTAATATGGGAACCACATAACAGTCTATATTATTTTACATTTTGATTGTTGACTAGTTAATGCAATTGTATGCTTCAACTTCAGTTGGTGTAAAACGATATAATTTTTTTCTCTTATGCCTGACTGCTACCAAGAATTCAAAAAGCAATAACTCTTATCAGTTTCTAGCATAGTGTAATGACTGTGAGAGGGGTATTTCCAGTACATAAGAAAAAGACTCATTATTGAAAAGGTGTCTACAATTGCCTTGATTTCATTATGACCTTGGAAAAAACACAACATGATAAAACCAGTAACTAAGGTCTGCTAAGCCTGCTCCAGGTCAAAGAGGCTTTTTGGTTTACTGTAAGATTTTTTTGAGTGGCAAAAACTTTGCATGTTGTTACTTGAAAAATTTTCCTTATTGTGGTAGACTAGAAATTCCTGGAAGTCTTTCATGGGAGTTACATTTTCAAGAATGTCCAGTGATCCACCGGCAGGGACTGTGGCACCAGTGTAATCTGAAGGACCAGACAGGTAGCAGTCTGGTTTGGTTTCTTATATTCAGTATTTTCTTAATTGGCAGTTGGTCAGCATAGATATCATAAGACAACTCTCAAAGACATAAGAATTCTATTTTTCAAGAGGATCTTCTGATCCAAAGGAGAGAAGGTGGTGGCAAAGTGTTTGACCTAAATGGTTTCTGTGTGGTGCCTCAGTCAGGGAAGTTGAAGGGTGGGTAGGAGATGGAAATTACATTCTGTAGGCTTGAAGGGTGGGTGGGAGATGGAAATTACATTCTGTAGGCCAGAAGTTTGGATTTTGGAGTGGCATGAATATAGGTGTATCAGAAAATTCAGCACGAAATCATTCCTATTTCTTAATTTAAATAAACAAAAATGGCAACACATACACACATACAGATTGCAGAGAAACCTCTCCATGATTTGACTTCTCAATAATCTGCCAGTGCTGTGGTTTCTGTCATCTATTTTAACTATAACCTGACATTCCCCAAGTATCACTACCAAGTCCCTTATAGCTAAGGAGTTTTGGGTTTTGGTTGGGAACATGGGGAAGTATGTAACAAGCTTGATTGTTTTGCTTGACCTGTATCATTCCAGGAGAAATTCACACACAGGAAGGAAATACAGAATATGGACATTTAGGAGCAAGCTGATGTTAAGATGGTATTCAAAGTGTAAGAAATTTTCAATCAAAAAAAGAAAAAGAAAAAAGGAGTTTCTTTGGGTAAATACATGTGAAGGGAAATGGGAAGGGACCAGAGGCTGAGAGAGGGAGAAAGAAGTAATTACTGATCTTGTCAGGATCACAAGGCCCAGCCTTTTCTCATCTCTGGATCCTTATATAATGTGTTGTGCCTTTCTTACTCCTCTGTTTTTCCCATTACCCCTGACTAGACTTAAAATCCCAGCTCAGAGGCCTTCCTTTCCAGGAAACCGTAGCCCCTTGCCTCCTCAGAGCAGTGAGGGCCACACATCATGATACTTCTCTGCTCTCTACAATATGGACCAATTTTTCACCCTCAATTACGGGGTACCTGGCTGGGGTCAGGGGTTGACAGGGATATTGGCATAACAAGGCAGAACTGAAAAAGTACAAGAGGGGTCTCCCCAGGGAGGAAATAAGGGCAGAGCTCTCGAATGCGACTTTCCTTCCCAAGTTCTTTCCCTTAGCAGCCTTGGAGAGGGGGAAGCAGGGAAAGGGAGCTTTTCAGAATTGGGACTCAGCACTAGTTTCTATCCCTGGTGTTAGCTCCACCCCAGAAGTGAGTGGAACAGTTATTAGATATTAGTCCCATTTTATAAACTAGGAAGCTCAGACCTTGAGAAGGTAAAATAAATACCTTACCAAGGGTCACAAAGGCAGAGATGGATTACAAGTCCTTCTATACACAGGAGATGAGCATTCAAAAACTACCTGTTCAACAAAGGACTCCTGTCTCTCATATACCCAGGTAGACATGATTCTGATCTTATGTAGAGAAATGAACAATTTGCAAAATGCTGTTATTGGGGAATTGGGAAAGGAACAAAAGCAGGAAACAAATTATATTGGCATAAGATCCATTGTTTTCAGAGTACTCCCATCAAGGTACTCTGGTGCAAGAAGCTATTCCTCCTGTACCCTGGATCCGATTCAGCCCAGAGAGGGCGATACTTCTGCCTGCTACCTTCTTTCCTTAGCCAGAGACATGCAATTGAATACATATATAGGGAGTACCATTGAAATATTCAGCAGCTATTGGGCTACATCATCCTGGTTATTCTGGGATATGGTGGTAACAGTGTGGCAAAACAGGGGAGAGGAGGTCAAGAGCCATCCTGGGTCATTACTTCCAAACTGCTGCTGAGTTGTGGCCTATTGAGTGAAGAGTGGATTTATTAATACTGGACAAAGATTCATGGCCAGTTAACAAGCCTGTCTTTCTACAGACTTATTCCTGGAACTCTGAGTCTAGATCAGCCTTGAAAATGGGGAGTTCAGAGGCCAACTCCTATCCTCAGCTTAGTTATCAAGAAACTGGCCTGCTCTGAGCATCTGTCCCAGGAAAGAAGTCTAAAGTAGCTGTAAGCTGGAATTGGCTCAGGTGCAAAGTAATTTTCTCAGACCTTGGGGTACCTCCCAGAAATGGACACCTGATCAGGGCACCTCCTCAACACAGGCCCCCCCCCCAGAGTTTAGGAGTCCTCTCACACTGTGCCTGCTGAGGCTAAGTAGCAAGGAGAGAAGTTGCAGAGAAGTCCCGAGCCTCAGCCTGCCCATGAGGGTGGGCTGGGCTACTGCACTGGTCATTTCTTGGAGCCCCAGTGGCAAGTTCCAAGGTCTGAAGCCTGTAAAGAAGAGGCCCCACACATCCCAGAAACCAGCTCACCCATTTATTTGACTGAGAACATTAAGAAGGACAACAAAATTAAACAATCTTTAATAAAATTCCTATAGAAAACTCAGTCACAGGGTGAGCACTCAGTTATCTTCCCCATTATTGAGGACTGAGAGCTCCCAATATTCTTTGGAGAATGAGCAGTAGTTTTGCTGGATGTTGCCAGTACTCAGAGCATCCATTTACACATTCAAACCAGTAGTTCCTATTGCACATATTAACATTATTTGCCACCTAGCACCCTACATATATGGTACCTCAACAAATAAATAAGACATTTCCATGTGGCATGAAACCATTTCAATTTGAATTAATATCCTTGAAAAAAATCACATTAATACAAGTTTTAATAAATACAGTAAGAACAGCTGGTATTTTACTAAAATACTGAATTTTAGGTCCGAAGATTATTCCATAAATAGGTTCTTTTTCCTTTGCTTATTTTCTTGGATACATTTACTCAAGTATTAAGCTCTATGAAGTGAATTCTTTCATAGATACCATATAAAAACTGTATTAATATGCGCCTCATTACAGAAGCAGCTGGAAGAACTGGATCACACAGTTAACTGAAAAGTAACTTAGGAAAAAGCTCTGCTTTTTTTTTAAACTTCAAAACACAGACTGAAGAATACCAAAGAAACATCATTTTATATAGAACTCCCACTAGAAATTTTATAAATATATATATGCAGCATATTTATATATATATATGTATATATATATTTGCCTCACCAGTAGATTTTCAGCAAGTCTGGTTGGAATGATGCTATCATAGTAAATAAATATTAACAAAAGAATTTATGAGTTTCCACAGGTTTAAAAGATTTCTTTTGAAAAATAATCATAAATTCAAGTTATAATTTGTAGTTTATACAGTCTAAAAATGGAAGGAAGACACCACTCTCTGAAGCCTTATTTGGAAAGTAAGAATAGCTCCCAGTCCCCAGGTGTGGAGAGTTGTTACCTGACTGATAACACTTGATCACAACACTGGAAAAGAAGTATTTACATCTTTCTGGTAAAGTACCAATCACGTAAAGAGAGAGAGAGAGAGAGAGAGAGAGAGAGAGAGAGAGAGAGAGAGAGAGAGAGAGACATCAAACAATCCCTAGTAGCATTCCTTGGCGTGCAAAGTCAGCAGGAAATGATTATCCATAATGTTGACTCATATTCATGATGAATCTTGGAAGCATTCAGAAAGCAGAGGGTGGTCATCGGGAATTTCCCAGATTAGGATTTGCGGGATGCTGTGTTGTTAATTTAACTGAGTTCCAAAATTTCATTCCCTTTATAACATCTCTGGCAGGGTCATACTCAATTTAGTGCAAGTGCAAAACAAAAAAAGAAAACTAACAAATACATTAGGAGCAAAGGCTGATCGTTAAGATCTGTAGTCCTTCCGAACTGTGTGGGCCATCCAGTTCACTTTAGTAGTCCAGCTTTCCCTGAGCGCCTCATCAAATTTTTGCTTAAATTGTTTGAGTGCTTCTTCTTCACTCTTCCCTAAGGCAAGAGAGTCCTAAAAATGAAAGGGAAAAAGTATGATTTTATATCCTCATCTGAGAGGTGCAAACAGCAAACTTTGCAAGAAGTTGGCTTGGCCTCGTCTTCCCTAGCTACATTAGGCAGAGTACCTCATGTTTTTACTTAGATATTGTCTGCAGGATGGGGAACAAATAACAAGGTAGCATGATAAGATGACCTCACCAAAGGGTGTTTTGTTTGGTACTGAACCCAGGCCCCCTACGCCCCCAGTCCTTTTTATTTTGAGAAAGGATCTCAATAAGTTGCTTAGGACCTTGTTATATCGCTGACCTTGAACTTGCAATTCTCCTGTCTCAGCCTCCTGAGCCACTGGGCTTATAAGTGTGCACCACCACATTTATCTCACCAAAGGGTTTTTGAAGATAAAATTAACTTATAATTATTGCAAGATACTCAGGTACTTTTCCAGTAAGAGGACTTAAGGCAAGTAAAAGGCACACTATTGAAAAGCAAGGTGCTTAACTACTTTCTGGTCTTCCACAGTGTGGGTAGAAGGTCACTGCCCAGCATGTCTTCTGAATGCCCCTTCTACTGATGGGAAAAGCATCTGGTTATAAGATCCACTTTCAAAATTGCTCCTTCATGTGAACTTTTCAGATTCTTTTCCTCTTGGCTAAAGACCATCTAAGGAAAGGGCTTTGTTTTACTCCCTTTGGAATATTTAAATGAAATAGACACCACTTACTGACCTTCATGCCCACAAAGACCAAAATGCAAGGAGAAGGGGTTTGTACCTTGAGATACTGTATATCCTTGACAGAGGTAAGCTCAGGAAGCCCTGCAGTCAACATCAGTGCAAAGAGAGTGATGAAGAGATTCCCATGTCGGCGTAAAATCAGATATGCATCTTCACAACACTGGCGGAACCTTCAGTTGATGCAGTATATGAGCAGTGTTAGAGGGGAGACAGCACATTTCATAAAGAAGACATTGTTAGACTTTTTATTGGAACTGGGGCATTTCTACTGAAATAAAAGTTCATTGCTGATTTTTCCTTCTCTGAATATGTTCCTAGGACTAAAATTTATATAAACTGAGTTTTCTAAAATCATGCATATCTTAAAAAAAATAAAAACCAAAATTAAATTGAAATTCTATGATAAAAGGCAATGTAACAATGCAGGCTGTTTACTTTTCATGAACACAAGAACTGATTATTAAATTAGTGATAACTATAATCCACGAGAGTTTCTGAACACAATTCAGGGTTCTCCCTATATGATTTTACTCCAGAGACTAATCTCTTTAACGTGTGCCCCCTCCATCCCACACCAGTATCTGTGCCTCTGCACTGCTCCTCCCTGTAATCTGCCTTCCCTGCTCTTTCTCTTCTTCAAGACAGTAATTCAAGGGGACCATCCATTCCTATGCCCCTTATTTTACCACAGAAAAAAACAGGACAGAAACTGGGATTCTGTCTGTATTTTAGACCTCTAATCCCCACAACAGCCCTGAACTTTAATTACTTTTGTCCACATTTTGAGATTAAAGAAACAAAGGTAGAAAGACAAGTAATGTGTTTAGGAACACACAAGTAGAAAGGAATAGATTATGAAGTCTCTCCCAGAACCCAGACTCCTCACTACTCTCTACATACAATGAGAGTAAAATCTATAATTCCTGTTCTCTCAGCATCTTACTGTCAAATATCTGAATAGCTTCAGATAATTTTCTGAAACAGATAAAAGATGGTATACTCTTGGAGTCAAACATAGTAACTTATTTCAAATTTCTATCATTTTGTTTTTTTCCTGACATTTCTGAACTGGCACAAGGATCTGACAAGCAAACTTCTCCACCCCAAAGCCTCCTGTTATTGTCTGAATATCTCCCAGACCCAAACTCAGTTAGCAAATGTTACTCTGCTGGTCAGATGACAAAATGCCACACATGTTTAGTTTTGACAGAAAGGCAATACTCACCGGCCAAACTTTTCTGTGTTTCCTGTTTTTCCTTGTTGAATGACATGAATGAAATCATAAGTAAGAATAAAAGGCACTCTCTCTCTTTTAATGCCAAATTTAGATTTAAAATTTCCAAGAATGTGTCCAAAGTCGATGTGGAAGAGCTGAAAATCAAATGGGATTTAATTTCTCTCATTTTTCTAGAGAAAAAGAAGAAAGGCAAGATCTCTGTAGCCCTCAACTCCCATGCACTACACCCACCCCTCATTCTGTGCGGAGCCCACTGGGCCACTTGGGAAGAGTATTTTTAACACTCTTAGGTCTTTTACTTTCCATAAGAACACTGATCTTAAATTGTATAAACCCAATGGGAAAGGAGAATCTTTAAAAGAAAAATTCACCCAAATAATAAACATGCGTGATTTAAAAAAAAATGTAGTTTTACATGGATAGCATGCCTTTATTTTATTTGTTTATTTTTATGTGGTGCTGAAGATCAAACCCAGTGCCCCATGCATGCAAGGCAAGTGCTCTGCCCGAGCTACAGCCCCAGCTCAACATGAGTGATTTTTAAAATGCCAAATAGTTCTAGAAAACAAAGAGCACAAACATGCCCCACTACCTCTTTTACCCTAAGCGCTACCACTCAGAAGGTACTTTCTCCCCATGCTTACACATATTTTCCCTGGTATCTGCCTCCATTTTTCTAAATATTATTTTATACTTATATTTACTTTCTAATTTTAGATTATTATTCTTATGGAAAATAAAGATTTAGTACCCTGTGCTATAATGTTACAGAATACAGCACACTGTCATAGATTCTGGTTAAATTGGCATTCAGTGTTTTTTGGGGTTGTTTGCTTTTGCAGTACTGGGGATTAAACTGAGGGGTACTCTACTGACAAGCAAATCCACCCTCACCCCAAGATTAGAGATCCTGCTACTGAGAAATACACCTGAACCAAACAACAGTGAAACGTACCCCACACATAATCTAGCCCTGCCTGAGCCTTAACATTACTCCAACTCAGAACAATGAGGAGACAAAAACTCCAAACCAACAAGAACCCAAGGAGGAACAATCAGAGGAAACTCACATCCCACACTCCTTGACATCTATTCATATATCAAAAATGAGAAGCCCCAGAACAAAAAAGATAATTACAAAAAACAAAAAATGTGATTTGCCACTTAAACAGAATTGAGGGCAAAAAAAGAAGAAGATAAATCTATCTAAATTGATGCACAAGTCCATGGCCTTTGAAAGAAAACATTAGGAAAAACGCAAAAACAAACAAACAAAAAAAATCTCCTCCCAAAATTCACAATACCCCAATAAAGGATCCCATTGATACTGAGAATTAAAATGTTCAATGAAGTAAAAGAAGATCTAAGGAATGAATTGAGATAGCAAACAGGAAATGATAAGACTACTTCATTAAAGAAATAGAAACAATGAAAAGAAATCAGTGACCAGAAACCAATCAGAAATGAAAGACACAATCAATAACAGATTAGATTACATAGAAAATAAAACCTTAGCCCTTGAAAACAGGGTATATGAACTTGAGTACATAGAATGCAATACAGGGAAAAAATTATTGAACATGATCAGAATATACAAAAACTCTGGAAAAACATCAGAAGACCAAATCTGAGAATTGTCGGGATGGAAGAGAACAGGGAGATACAAGCTAAGAGCATTGAGAACAGTTTCAATGAGATAGTTAGAAAACGTTTCTCATATCAGAAATGAAACAAAGATCCATATACTGGATCTTTGGGGGCTTATAGGACCCCCCAAAAGATCTATTCAAATGAGAAGATCCAAATTCTAGACCCTATTCTAGAGAAGACCCAAATCAATAAAATTAGAAATGAAAAAAGAGATATCACCACTGGCCCTTCTGAAATCGAGATAATCATCAGAACCTATTTTGAAATTCTATAATCAATAAACTGGAAAATTTAGAAGACATTGACAAATTTCTAGACACATATGACTTGCCCAAACTGAACCATAAAGACACAGAAAACCTAAACAGACCAATATAAAATAATGAAACTGAACAGCAATTAAAAGCCTTCCAAAACCAAAAACTCAAGAACAGACGGAATCTCAGTTGAGTGCTACTAGACCTCAAAAGAAGAATTAATTAAATTAATAATTTCTCAAATTATTCCATGAATTGAAAGAGAGGGAACACTCCCAAATATATTCCATGAAGTAAGTATAACCATGGTACCAAAACTAAAGATGCATTGATGAAAGAAAACTGTATACTCATATATCTGATGAACATAGATGCAAAAATCCTTAATAAAATATTTGCAAATCACATTCAAAAACATATCAAAAAGATAATACACCACAATCAAGTAGGTTTCATTCCAGAGATGTAAGGTTGGTTGAATATAAACAAATCAATAATGTGATCTGCCACTTAAACAGAATTAAGGGCAAGAATCTCATGATCATCTCAACAGATGCAAAAAAGGCCTTCAATAAAATCCAGCACCCTTTCATGTTAAAAATGTTGGAGAGGGATAAAAGGAACTTACCTCAACATCATAAAAGCTATTTATGACAAATCCAAAGCCAACCTCATACTGAATGGAGAAAAAACTAAAAGTATTTCCTCTAAAATTAGGAACAAGACAAAGCTGTTCACCTTATCACTCTTTATCAATAATAGCTCTTTAACAATAGCCAGTGATCAGGCAAGAGAAGAAAATCAAAGTGATGCAAATAGGAAAGAAGTCGAACTATCTCTGTTTGCCAAATGACATGATCTTATGTCTAGAAGACCCAAAAGTCGCCAAGGGAAGATTTCTAGACCTTATGAATGAGTTCAGCAAAGTAGCCAGATACAAGTTCAATACACATAAATCAAAAGCTTTCTTATATTCCAACAGTGGTTCAGCCAAGGAAGAAATAAAGGAAACCATCTCATTCACAATAATCTCAAAACCAAAATCAAAACCAAAACAAACAAACAAACAAACAAAAAACTTGAGAATTTATTTAACCAGGGAGGTAAAAGAACTTTACAATGAAAATTATAAAACACTGATGTAAGAAAAGAAACTAAAGAACTTAAAAGATGGAAAGACCTCCTATGTTCTTGGATAGGCAGAATTAGTATTGTCAAAATGGCCATACTATCAAAAGCAATATACAAATTCAATGCAATCACCATCAAAATGCCAATGACATTCTTTACAGAATTAGAAAAAACAATCCTTAAATTGAGTTGGAAGAATAATAGACTCAGGATGGCCAAAGCAATTCTGAGTAAGAACGATGATGCAGGAGGCATCACAACTCCTGATCTGAAATTATACTACAGAGCTACAGTAACAAAAAACACCATGGTATTGGCATAAAAATATACATGCAGACTAACTGAACAGAATAGAAGACACAAAAATCCACGTAATTACAGCCATCTGATATTCGACAAAGGTGCCAAAAATATATTTTGGAGAAAAGACAGGCTTTTTAACAAATGGTGCTGGGAAAACTGAATAGCTCTATGTAGAAACTAGATCCCTATCTCTCATCGTACACAAAAGTCACATCAAAATAGATCAAAGACTTAGACCAGAAACCATGCCAACTGCCAGAAAAAAACATAGGGTCAACACTCCCTCATATTGGTGCACAGACTTTCTTATCAAAACCCCCAAACCATAAGAAACAGAACCAAAAATCAATAAGTGGGATGCCATCAAAACAAACATCTAGGGCTGGGGATGTGGCTCAAGCGGTAGCGCGCTCGCCTGGTATGCGTGCGGCCCGGGTTCGATCCTTAGCACCACATACCAACAAAGATGTTGTGTCCGCCAAGAACTAAAAAATAAATATTAAAAAAAAAAAAAAAAAAAAGGGAAAAAAAAAAAACAATCTAAGGTAACGCTATTCTTCCCTAGTGGCCCCCGCTTATTGTGAATTAGCATCCGCATATTAGAGAAAACATTCTGTTTTTGGTTTTGTGGGATTCGCTTATTTAGCTTAGCATAACATTCTCCAACCATTTACTGGCAAATGTCATAATTTTACTCTTCTTTAAAACTGAGTAATATTCCAATGAGTATATCATACTACATTTTTTTTATCCATTCATCTATTGAGGGACACCTAGAAATGGTGGGAGTGAAGGGAATATGGGGATAGGAAAGATAGTAGAATGAAACAGACATTATTATTGTATGAATAAATGTGACTATATGACCAATATGATTCTGCAACTGTACACTCAAGAAAAATGAGAAATTATATCCCATCTATGTATATCAAAGTGTATAAATGTAATCTACTGTCATGTATAACTAATTAAAACAAATAAAAAAACAAACAAAAAAGTTCGGTACAGGAAAGGAAACAATTAAGAATGTGAAGACAGAACCTATAGAATGGGAGAGAAACTTTGTCAGCAGATTCTCTAATAGGGGATTAATATTCAGAATATATAAAGACCTTAAAAAAACTTGACATCAAAAATAAAACAAACAAACAAAAAACCTCAAATAAACCCAACCAATAAGTGGGCAAAATAACTAAATAAAAAATTCTCAAAAGAAGAAACACAAGGGCTGGGGTTGTGGCTCAGTGGTAGAGTGCTTGCCTAGCACATACAAGGCCCTGGGTTCAATCTTCATATGATCCACTATCCCACTTCTTGGCATTTTCCCAAAAGAACTAAAATCAGCATCAGCATTGTATCGAGACAGCCACCTCAATGTTTATAGCAGCACAATTCACAATAGCTAAATTATGAAATCAATCTAGGTGCCCATCAATAGGTGAATGGATTAAAAAACTGTGGTATGTATACACAGTGGATTTCTACTCAGCCATAAAGAATGAAATTATGGCAATGGAGAACATCATGCTAAGTGATGTTCCCAGTCCCAAAAAATCAAAGTTCAAATGTTTTCTCTCATATGTAAAAGAGTAAAATAAAGGAAAGGAGGAGGAAAGCATAGAATATCATAAAGGGAAGATGAGTAGTATAGAAGGAGAATAAGAGGCAGAGTGGAGGGATGGAGAAGGGAAGGTAATATGGAATAATTCTTTAAAAATTATGTTATATGCATATATAAGTATACCAGAGAATTTCACTTTTAAGTAAACAGACCCAATCAAATATAAATAAATAGATAAGCAAAAGGAAATCTAACAGAGTAGGGGAAGGAGAATGGGGGAGGAGAGGGAGGATAGAAGGGAAAAGGGGCACTGTGAACTGAAATTAAATTCCGTGCATGTATGATTTTGCTGAATGAACCCAAATACTATATATAACTATATAGCTCTAAGAAAAAATAATTATTACATATAAAATAAACACATAAATCAAAATATCTTCACATACTGACAAACATTTCCTGTGGGGAAAAAACTGCCTTAGTTAAGTACTAGTTTCAACTCTTGGTGCATGTCCTTAATCCAGTAGCCTCCTGAGAAAAGATGCAAAGGAGAAAGCTGAACATGGTGGTATGTGCCTGTAATTCTACTTATTCAGGAAGCCGAGTCAGGAGGATCAAGGTCAAGCCATCCTGGGCAATGTACAAGACCCCAACAGGAAAAAAAGAAAGAAAGAAAGAAAGAAAAAAAATATATACATATATATCAGAGGAGGTACAGATTTTGAGAACTTGCATGTTTGAAAATGTCTTTCTTTATTCCATCTTCACACTTGTACGATAGTCTGGTTATAGAATTCTAAGTTAGAAGTCATTTTCCTTGAAAATTAGAAAGGCTTTTTACCATCTTAAAGTTTCCAATTTAGCTTTGATAAGACAAAGTCATTTTGATTCCTAAACTCTGATATTTGGCTTCCTGTGTCTCTGAAAAGGTTTTAGAATCTTTTCTTTATGCCTGATGCACTGAAAAGGGTTTTAATAAGAATCTTTTCATCCACTATAAGTACAAAGAAAATTGTTAAGTTTTGTGCTCTGTTGACTGGATCTTCATGAACATCAGCTCTGGGAAACATTTTTTATATTTGCTTAGGAGTTCCTTCCCTTACTCTTCTCTATTACTTCTTTCTGGAATACTATTAGGCTGATGGACTAATAGGACTAAGTCTCCCTGGACTAAGTCTCTATCACTTCAATATTGTGCATAAATACAGAGTGCGCGCGCGCGCGCGCACACACACACACACACACACACACACACACACGGCAGTGGGGGTTGGGGAAGAAATAGACATTAAGGCATAGTGTTTTAAATCAAATTGCTAGGATTTAAAACCCGGAATGTCTACTCTGTTGACTCATTTTTCCTACCTATAAAATGGGGATAATACTACTTTGCTGTAAAGTTGTCATGAAGATTCTTCATTAACATATATAACACACTTACATTTGTTCCAATTTTAACTTTTTGTTTGTTCCTATTTTTAAGACCTCTATTCTCTAATTTTAAAAAAGAAGTCATTATATTTCATAATACAATGCTATCTACTTTTTTTCTATTTTAAAAATCATCATCTGTTAAACTGAAGTTACTCCATTTTCCCAGAGTCCTTCTTCCCCCACTTGATAGAGGTCTCTCTCTTTCACAGTAGAAGTTTCCTTCAAATGTCTACTAATCCAAGGGCTGGGAATGTAGCTCAGTGGTAAGGCACATGCTTAACATGCATTAGATAGTGGGAGGTGGGAAGTTAAAGGATACAAAATTTCAGTTAGACAGGAGGGAATAAGTTCAAGGGAGCTACTATACAACATGATGACTACAGTTAACAACAATATATCATACTTCTGAAAATTACTGAGAATAGATTTCAAGGCTATCACCACAATAAGTAAATAATGTTAATTAGTTCATTTAGTCATTTTATAACATACATATTTCATTTTTAACATATATATTTCAAAACATGTTTTATATATATATATATATATATTTCTATTTGTCAATTTAAAAATATCTGCTAGTCCTTGGCTAACCATTCATATTTGAGTTGCTAAAAAGCTAAAGGAAAATTCCATGTAAATAGTTATGCTTGTTTGTTGAATAGTGATCTTCCCTGAAGAGGGCTTGGGAAGAGACCTCAACTGTAAGAATCTTTTCACTGGAATCAATCAGATTTTCTTACATGTCTTGTGGAGGAGAAGGATAGAAACCTGATAGCCAGTGTTCCTGTAGCAAAGCAAGTGGAAGTGGCTCTAAACTGCAACATTTAGTATGCTTTTAACTTAGCCCCATTTTTAATATGGCACCTTCCCCTCAGCCTTTTATAGAACTTAGTGTCCTTTAATCAGAAGTTCCTTCAGAAAATAAATCTTCTGTGTCCTTCTCCAGGTAAGGAAGGGGACTTGAGCAAATAAACTATTCCATATAAAAACTGCCGCACAATCACATTTTTAACCTTGCCCATATGCCCATCCTGAACAGTACTTGGTGCCTCCAATTTCATAGCTTTCCTTAGACTGGCATGACTTTCTTTTTCTCACACACACACACACACACACACACATTTAGTTGTAGTTGGACACAATACCTTTATTTTACTTATTTATTTATTCATATGTGGTGCTGAGGATCGAACCCAGTGCCTTGCATGTGTTAGGCGAGCGTTCTACCACTGAGCCACATCCTACCAATACTCAGGTTCCCATTTTTCAGTCATTGCTAAATCATTGCTGCTGTTCATCTCACTTTCTATCATTCCCAAATCTATTATGTCTTTCACCCACTGTGATCTCTTCCCTAACACCTTTGACTTCTGAGTTTATCTACTTTTTTCTTGTTGCTTATTATTACTTTAGAGAGGTATCAGGAAAAAATAATGTAGACAAACCAAAGTGTTTGGTCTGATTAACTTGAAGTCTGAGGGAATCCTGTGAAGTAGGGACACATGGTTCAGTTCTCAGAACCCAAGCCAAAACTACCCAAATCTCCCATGTGGTATAAAATTCTGTGTTCCATTCATGGCCAAAACTCACATAGTCACCTAGAGATATTCATTCTGGTATGCTTCTAGTTTGAGGAATCCCAATGGTGACTAAACTGAAAAATTATCCATCTGTCTGTTAATATAAAAAAAAAATTATAAACAACCTAAGTCACTTAAATTTAAAAAAAAAAAAGGAAAGTTTTCATTTGGAAATTCACTTGAAACTAAAGAATTTCCTCACAGTTAACCCAGCTGTGGTATCCTTAGATACCTCCAAATAGTATTCGTATACTACTTTCCTCCCTATTCCCACATATGATTAGGTTCAATGTTCTAAAAGAACTGACTCAAGTGTTGTTCCTACCACTTTTTTTTTTTAAAGAGAGACTGAGAGAGGAGAGAGAGAGAGAGAGAGAGAGAGAGAGAGAATTTTTAATATTTATTATTTTTTTTGTTCTCGGCGGACACAACATCTTTGTTGGTATGTGGTGCTGAGGATCGAACCTGGGCCGCACGCATACCAGGCGAGCGCGCTACCGCTTGAGCCACATCCCCAGCCCTCACATTTTTTTTTTAAACTAAAGCACTGGCTACATTTTTTGAAGTCAATACATCTAGCACATCTTCTGTAAGTAAATGCTTAACCAACTAATTTGAAACAAACAAATACAAGAAGTAGATGGTTATGAAATGAGGGAAATTGAGGAAAGATGAAGATATGATTTGATATCACTGAGGCCCTTGGCAAAGCCAGCAGTATAGCTCACCTGGCCAGTTTTTTTGACCATGATGTTGTCACTGTGTCTGTCACCAATCCCAAGGACATAAGAAGCTACACAGTAGCCAGCACAAGACAGGGTAAACTCCTCAATTGCTCTGTCCAGGTCATCCCTGAATAAGAGAAAAAGTAGGAGCCTCAATGGTATTCAGCTTTCAAATGTGTGAGGTGAGACCCAAACCATACCTGTTACTTTTTTAATTGTGAAAAGAACTTACAATACATAGCTACCAAAACCACAGGGTGGGTCAGCCAAGAATCAGGGGAGTCAGGTAGCTTAAAAACACTAGATACAGGGGCTGGGGTTGTGGCACAAATGGTGGAGTGCCTGCCTAGTATGTGTGAGGCACTGGGTTTGATCCTCAGCACCACATAAAAATAAAATAAAGATATTGTATTCATCTAAAACTAAAAAATAAATATTAAAAAGAAAAAAAAAACAACACTAGATGTATGGGCTCAGCCATTCAAATTCCTGAGTCCTGGGGGTAGTGGGGGGCGGGGGCAGTGTTGGTGCTTGTTTCAGTAGGGATGGAGGTAAGCTCATGTGCATAAAAGGGCAGGCTACTGTGGTTTTGGTTGGATCACAATGTGCTTAGGAACATTTTTGTCAGTTTTGACCTAAGACTAGAATTCCATGTTGAAGAGTTGAGTATTGTAGTTTCCACCATCTGAGTCACTGATCTCAATTGGAAGCGAGCAATATAGACTCTTGTGGAGACAAGGCCACAAAGATCAAAATTTTGAAACTGATTCTCACATACAAGTTCTTAGACAATGCTAATGATAACATCTGAATCTCATTTTGAAGTCTTTAGCCATAAATAATTGTGGAGCTCTTTACTTATTAATGCTTGTCCAACACCATCACCATAAATAACACATAACTAAGCACTACATTTTTTTAGAGAGGTCACAGTCTACAAACTCATTTACTTCTTTCATAAAATTAATCTACTATAAACTTACTTAGGTTCATATATTCACATAATTACAAAAGCTGATATGTTTAAACAAAAACTTCACTATGTCATCTTAAATTCCTAGGTGGAATATCATTGCAGAGCTTATAAAATTTGACTTAGATAAAGTAGAAATCAATTATAACCATTCATAAGATTTTAGGTCATTCTGTTCTAACCTGAAGTGAAGCAATCTATAAAACTATTTTTCCTCTCAGACACCAATGATTTCTATTGGGAAAAGAATTATCTGTTTGGATGTTTGCATAGAAAAATGATGATTAAATAGAATCAACTAACCCAGAATTATATTCCTTCAGCCAGTTCAGAAGGGCATCTTTGTTGAAAGCTGCTGCAGCAGCCACATTGCTACTATTCAGCTGAATGTCAGCAATTGTTTCAGAGGTGCTCACAACTTCAATGAGGCCAGAGCGATCTCCTGTTGCTAAACAGCCATAAGGGAGCATGCTGAAAGGGAGGAAAACAGATGGGGGGGCATTAAAAAGTCATAATTTCCTTAAAATGAAACATTAATTTGTTAATTTCCCCTAGGATTTAAAAAAACTATTATCATCGATACATTGCCATTACTCATTATTATGTTATTGCCATGTGGAAAAATACCACCTCTATCTTTTGTTAGGGAATAAAATTCTTAGACAAGAGATGGAATGATTTACGAGAATTCCAAGGATCTAGCTAAATATATCATTTATTACTACAGCATTATTACTCTGTTTACTTGTTAGAGGAATGCAAGTACATTAGATAAAGAAAAACTCCTTCATTTTTACTACAAATTTTGGGGAAGGGAATCAGTTTTTATGGAACAGTTGGTATGTACTACACAGTAGGCCAAGCACTATACATATTGTTTTTGTTCAGGACAACTTCACTTTTCTAACTGCTCAAGCCCACAACCTTCAACCTTAAGGTCATCTTTGACTCTTCTCTTTCTTTCATGACCAACATTTAATTTAAGTGCCTTGAAAATGTATCCAGACTCCAAATACTTCCCCACTCCCATTCTTCCTCTGCTAAAACCAAGTCAAACTAACCTTTATCTCAATTATTGAAGTTTCCTAACTGGTCTGCCAGTGTATACATCATAGTCTGTTCTAAATGCAACAGGACTATGATTCATTTAAAATGTATGCATATGCCATCACTCCCCTGATCAAAATGTCTGTGATTGCTTTCCACCTTAGAGTGAAAGCCAACATGCTTGCCATGGCTTAAAAGCCTTCTTTAATCTGGCCTCCTTCATCTCTTCTACTTTTCCCCATTACTAACTTTGTTCCTATCACATTGGCCTCAAACATATTAGGCAAAATATTCATCTATTCCTTTGCATGTGTTATTTTCTCTTCTGGAATATTCCTCCTCAAGACATCTATATGGCTTTCCCTCTCAATTCTAGGAAATCGCTCCTGAAATATCAACTTTTCAGTGAGAACTTCCTGGATCATCCTATTTAAAATACACTATCCTTGACCAATATCCACTATTCCTTCCTTGCTTTATTCTTCTGTATACACCTCAACACTATCCAGCATCCTGTACATTTTACTTATTTATCTGTATCCACCATTAGGATATAAGTTTATCAGGTAGGGATGTCTTATTACTCACTACAGTATCCTCAGTGACTGGAAATATGCCTGGCACAGAACAGATGCTCAATAAATATTTGTAAATCATTAAGCACATTTAATAACAAAATCCTTATGAAGTTCCCAATTTTACAAATGAGGAATGTAAGTAACCTGCCCCAAATCACAAATTTAACTAACGTGTAAGATCTGAGAGTTAAAACTGGGTCTGTGCAGCTCTGAAACTATCTTTTTAACCTAACACAATCTCCAGAGTAACAGATTATTTCTGTGTAAATAAAAATACATAGGGAGAATAACGTGAATGAAGAACTGCTACATGTTTTACAGCAATTGAATGGACTGTTAAATGACAGCACCAAATGTGAAGCCAACAGGTCTGCATGCTGACTTCGTTATTTCCTGAATTGAAATTTTACCTCCCCTCCAGGATTATGAACTCCTTAGAGACAAACTTTAACTGAAAAGAGGTGACTGAAAAGGTAGAGAAGGCTGATAGTCTGTCAGGAAGATGAGACTTGATATTTTTATTAGCTAGACATCCAGAGTGGCTACCAATACCACACACTAAGAAATATTTTAGATTATTGATTAAAATAATTTTTGCCAAATTCATAAGTAGCACTTTGCTTTTTTTTTTTTAAGGATTTCTTCACCGACAGGATTCAATTTTGACAAATTCCTGCATTTTTTAAAATTTATTTTTAAATTATAGGTGGATACAATATCTTTTTTTTCAATGTGGTGCTGAGGATCAAACCCAGTGCCTCACACATGCTAGGTGAGCGCTTTATCTCTGAGCCACAACCCAGCCCGCATTTTGCTTTGATTTGTTCTTATTTGATTCCTGCTAAAGATAAAATTTTTCTCTTTTGGCCATTTTAAGAAGAATTTATTATTGGGCTGGGGCTGCAGCACAGTGGCAGAGCGCTTGCCTAGCATGCATGAGACCCTGGGTTGAATCCTCAGCATCACATAAAAAAAACAAGAAGAATTTTTTTTTGTGTGTGAATTAGCCATTTATATCCTTTGCCTATTTATTAGAATTCTAAACATTTTTCTTAGTGATTTATATGAGCTTTATGTATATTAATGTGATTTTCTCATTTTGGTTGCAAGTATTTTCTCTACATTTAAAAAAACTATAATAACAACTTGAAAACTGCAAGAGATACATTGGAAGGTTCAACTAAAGATCAGGTACTATAGAAATGCTATGACCAGGATTTATGGGTTTAATAAATAGTTGGGTGCAGCTATGTGTCAAACAATGTCTCAGATGTCAAATGGTGATTCAGAAATAAGCAATCCCTACTCTCACTGAATTTAAAAGCACAAATGCACAATATGCTTGTGATCTCTGTATGAGGGAGAAGTACCAGGAAAACATAGCAGGAGTTAAGAAAGATCTCCATGAAGAGTAAAGACAGGAAGGCTGGAGCAGAGTATGAGGGGGGAGCATAAGAGCGGAGTGGAGAGAGGACAGAGTAAATGTTAGAAGACCATGTAGGGCACTGTAGGAGCCTATAAGGACTTCTGTCACTCTCCTGGAAAACCTACTGGGCTTTATGCAAACGGGGAAGAGGTGGGCTCGGGGGAGGGAGTGTATGAGTATATTAGCAAGTTAACAATCAGATTAAAAAGGAGACTTTCTAAAATTCCTTCCAAAGAAAAATTCAATTATTTTATACCTCTTCTAGCACTTTGCTAGTCTAACAAAATAAGGATGAAAGCCAAACCTGTCAAATTACATGCTGGTTGACTTGATATACCAAAGGACTGTTTTACACCTGCATTATTCATTTATTTCTCCTTAAAAAAAAATTACCTCCAAATAAGAAAGGCAACTTTGGAGCACTAATATTTTTACTGACACCCTTATCCTTATCATGACACAACACATGTAAAGCAAACACTGTCAGGTTAAAGTGCACTTTCACACTTTCCTGCATCTCCTCCTGCCCCACTTGCAACAAAATAGGGCACAAGTCCAATAACTTCCTCTTTAAAAGCAGGCAATGATGAAAGCACTCAGTGCCTTGAGGATGGAACATTCACAACCGGAAGGAAAAAACATCCTTGTCAGAGAGACAGTTTGACATAAGTCAAGCTGGGGACAAACTCTTGGAACCCTGATCATCTTATCTAGGCCTCCTTTGCAATGAACTTCTACACTTCTTGTAAAGGCCATGACAGCACTTTCAGTAATGTTTACCTTCCTTTCTCATAATTTGACCCAAGGAGCAATGTGTTAATTTTCAAATTAAAGCAAGAATTACAAAATGAAATGAATTCTAGAGCAGTGAGGATGGCAGATTCATATCTTTACTTAATAGCTATGTACTAAGTCTTCTTTGGTCTTGACTCAACACACTGACCCAAATCTTGAGTAGTACCTTATAGCTCACTGCCTCTGAAGGAGGAAAGTGTAAATCTTTTACCTCATGTTTACATTATTTTCATATCCTTCCTTCAGCCCTCTGAGACTGATCATTAAATATCTTATATATAACTTCTGCATGGGTCTCTTAAAAGGGAAGTAAACTCCATTAGTGCAACTCAGAAATAAACTTGGACACAACCATAAAAAATAGATTTTATGTGTAGCATAGGAAGGCAGGTATACAGAGCATTGTTAAATCTCCCCAAGGTCAGATGGATTTACATGTAGACAGCCTATCAGACTTCAAAGAAAAGGTCATTTGTTGACCAAAGGATTGTTTCTTAGCCTTTTGGCTAAGATTAAGTGTTGTCAAGATATAAGGAGGTTAAGATATCTCAACATACTGATAGCCTATGTTATAATTTGACATAAAAGATAGCAAAATAGTATTATGAGACAGCAGAGAAAATTTTAAATGAGCAATATAGATTTTTCATTTATGCAAACATGGTACTGTTACAAGTACTAAAATAGTAATGTATGAAGGGTATCCAAAGATTTGGAATTGAACTTAAAAGAGTGTGTGCTACATGACCCAGTTTAACCTGAACAGCTGGCTAAAAGAAAAACAAACACAATAGGAACACTGGAGCACATATATTTATAGAAACAGTAAAAAAGTTTTGGTGAGAAAAAGACATTAGTTTGAAAATGAACTAAAAAAGAATTAAAGCCTTTCATATTTTTTTTAAAACATGGGGTCAGAGGACAAAAAGTCAGAAAAGATCCCACTGGACAGATAAGTTCCTTTTTCTTGTTAGACACACAATGTTTCCCATCAGACAGCCACTAGTTTATTTCTGGCATTCTTACATGTGGCTGCCTCCCTTTATCTGAGGTCAAAAAGTACTTCATTTGATGCAAAATGTGCTTTTTCATTTGGACAAAACTGAAACTAAGAGAAAAGAGGTGGGTTGGAGTTTTCAGTTAGGCTTATGGAACTAAGAAAGCTACGATAAAGTCATCAGTTCAGTCTTTCACAACTCAAAAAGACCAATCATATGGACAGAATCTGTTATCAGCAGAGGGAATCACTGTATAGCCTATGTGCTGACTCTGGGAAGAACAAGTAAGTTACCAAGTCTATGTGTAAAGTTTCTCTCCTTTTTGTGAACTCAATTAGTAAAAACATTTGCTTAGGGTTTTCTTTTATATAGGAAGAGTCAGTAAACTCATGTTAGCATGCATCAGATAGTATTTAGGCATTGCAGACTAACTACTGTTTCAGCACAAAAGCAGCTACAAATGGCTATGTGTCAGTATTTTAATGTGTCAACATTTTATTTACAAATAAAATTTCAAACCCTCTGTTTGACACCCTTGCAGAGAGTTTCTTAAATGATCCATCCCTCTTACCTATGTAGTATTGAAAAACTTCTTAACTATTCATAGCTACTGATTTTGTTTTTAAAACAGAGCTATTTAGAAATACGTCCTAATTTAAGGCCAAGAGTATGTTACTTAAGGTAACCAGAGGGTCCTTTTTGGATGTATTATGATCTCTCATCCTTATTCTAATCTCATGTATAGACCCATGAAAGGAAAAGTAACCAGAGCAAACTGCTCTTTCCATCTTAACAGAACTGGAAAAGTGTATTCTGCAAAGTTCCAAAATCAGGAAACTCTTTTCCTTTTTTTAGCTATCTGGGGCACCATAATACTTTGATAAAGAGTTATTGGACAGGGGCTGAGGTTGTGGCTCAGTGGTAGAGCTCTTGTCTAGCATGTGTGAGGCACTGGGTTCAAATCTCAGCACACATATAAATAAATAAATAAATAAATAAATATCCATCAACAACTAATAAAAATATTAAAAAAAAGAGTTACTGGACGTGTCTTACCACAATTTTTTTCTCATTTGGATGACTGTTAAAATAATAGAAAGACAGTAAGCTCAGAGTGAATAGTCCTGGATTTGAGTCTGACTCTGCTACTTAATATTTTTTGTAAATTTAAAAAAAAATCTCTATTGCCTTAATTTTTTCATGTGTTAAAAAGGAATTACACAATCTTATAATTTTAAAGTTTATATGACATTAAATATGTGAAGAATCTAATACAATGCCTGATTCAGTCAATAAATAACAACTGTTTCACATATTTTTAAAAAAAAATTTCAAACCATTGGTTGAAATGTGATTCTTGCTCTCTGTCCAAGCCTTCCTGAAGTCTAAACGTGCCCTTTTTTCTGAAATCTCAGGCCATATATAGTTTTAAATCTTATGTGGTTTAAATAAGAGAATGTATTTGAAAGTACCTGTAAAGTGCTATATTAAATAGCACAAGCAACAATAAATATAGCAGGAGGGAAGGAATCATCATGAAGTTTAAGAAATTTTGCTGGGAAGAAAACAAAAGACAAAAAAATAAGTTCACTAGAAATCTCACCGAAGATCCAGACCAGCTTCTTTCCAGAGTAAATCCATCAAACGAAGCATTTGGAGTGTTAACATATCCTGTCGTAAATCTAAGGGGAAAACTTAGTTATAAATGCTTTCCATTTTATGCCTACTAACTCATTAATTCAACATTAGGTAATTCAATCAGATTTAACTAAAATCATTAGGAAAAAAAGCTATGCTTTGTTAAAATAGAATTTTAGTGTTGACCACATAACTAATAAAATAGGCTCATTGATTAGCATGTCCCTATAACATTTCTATTATTAAATAAAAATAATTTTAAAATTGTTTACCACTTATAAATTACTGTGCTAATTGTATGGATGCTGTAAAATTGTATTAAGCTGGGCACAGTGGTGCACACCCATAATCTCAGCAACTCAGGAAGCTGAGGAAGAAGGATCACAAATTTGAGGCCAGCCTCAGCAACTTAGTGGGAATCTGACTGAAAATAAAAAATGAAACACACACAAAAAACTGGGGGTGTACTCAGTGTTAAAGTTACCCTGCATTCAATCCCCCAAAACAAACAAAAGAACAATTGTTTGTGTCACATTGCATTCATATTCTACTATATTGCTCATTTGCTTTTAGGGTAGTACAAGAAGTTCTTATAAATCATACAAGTAGTAACTGTATTATGGGCTCAAAAAACTAATAGTTGGACATATTTATTATCATGCCCAAGAGTACTATGTGACTATGTGAAAGTAATCACAATTGTTTTTTTTTTTGTTGTTGTTGCTAATTATTTGTATGTTAAGTGTGGTTAAAGTCTAGCAAAAACACTGAGTTATTTTTTTTTAGGTTGGGGGATCAGGTGCCAGTCAGCTACAAGTTGTTTTTTTTTTTTTTTTTTAAGAGAGAGAGAGAGAATTTCAATATTTATTTTTGAGTTTTCGGCAGATACAACATCTTTGTTTGTATTGGTGCTAAGGATCAAACTTGGGCTGCACTCATGCCAGGCGAGCGCGCTATAGCTTGAGCCACATCCCCAGCCCTCTGAATTCTTTATAAAGAAGTTGTAAGTACATCTTATGATAAGCATGCTTACTTATGTCATCTCATTTAATTGCCTTAAACAACTCTGGCATAAAGATTCTATAATTGTCAGGATTCATACCAAGACCTGAAACTCAATGAGTTGCACAGGATTTGCTTATAGTCTCACAACTATGAAGACATGACTGCCTTTTGGTTGGCACAATTCCTTGACAACCATTTTCTTTATCAAATCTTGGTCAGTCATATATCTTATTAAAATACAAATCTATAGCAGTAAAATCAGTATTGCTATCACTGAAATAGAATATGTGACTACATTACTGAAATATTCTCTTGTATTTTACAAGCTTTTATCAAGGAGTAGACAGATTTTGTATTTTGTAGGAGGAGAAAGAGAGTTTTATTAGACAGTAAATGTAAATGAATTATAGAAGTCATTTTCCCAAAAAAAGTGGGGGTCGGGGGATATTTAGGACCTGTTGAATCTGACTTTACAACCAGTGATAGCTATTTTTCAGGTGCCAATTATCATAAACTTATACACATCATCAAATAAAGCAAGTTTAGCAATAAATAAAAAACTCTAAGCAATTTGGCACTGTAAAAACCTCTGTACTTACCATCACCATTTTTAAAAATCACTCCAACTGAATCCTCACCAAATACCTTGTTGTTGTACACTAGCCACAAAGGCTTCATTTTGGAATCCATGTATTTGCACTTTTCAACACTGAAATCAATCAAAGGGAAAATCAGCCTACTTCAGTGCAACAATATGACCAGACTATATTTTTGCAGGAAAATTCCTTGCTTGTCTCCTAGAAGGTCTGCAAAAGTCAGAGCTAGGCAACTTTCAGTAAAAAAAAGGAACTGCAAGGAAAACACTGTTTGGCATAACCAGCACTAGGTGGACTAGACTCAAACACCCAGGAACTGTCCTTCTCATTGCTTCTGCTGAAAATTTCTCCTTATATCCTTATATCTCCTTAACTTTATGTTCTAAAAAATTAGAACATACCACTGGATTGAAGTTAAAAATATTGTGAGATCACTCTTGATTTCTTAAAGAGGAATGAATTTTGAATACTATTATATTGAATATACAGTATTATTTTTCCATTATTACCTTTGTGTGAATGAGAAAGTGAGAAATCAGTTTCCAAATTCATTCAAGATTTCATTTTAAAAAAGAAAAGTAAATTACCAAATAATTTATTGTGGTTTCCAAGATTTTGCTCATGTGAAATTTTTAACTCTTAAAAAACAGTAATGTAGAAAATGACTTTTAATTAAATGCTACTGAAAGGAAATTAACTTGTAATAACTCTTATTAACCCCACAGTAAACTGAGCTGTTAGGTACGTATTCTACTGAATACAAGCACAGTCTATGAGGACTTTAATATTTTCTGTAATCATATCCACTTTCTGGGCTCAAATTGGCCCTACTACACCCACAAGGCAATGTTCAGAAATCCTTTCTGCACTGAAATTTTCATGGGAGACTCACTATGCAAAATGTAGGAGATCACTTACTAGAGTTCTGAGAGGATGACACATGGATTCAGAGGTGACTGCAGGTCAGAGAGGGCTTCCCGGTAAGCATTCTGTTTTAAACAAGTGTGCATAGCTTCCTTCCCTTTAGCTCTGTTTAGCTTCATTGCATTCAGTTTGATTAAACTATTTAAAGTTTTTAACTTGTTGAGTGCTTCGACCTGAAATATAAATTTCCCCAGGCCCAAAATTTACTTGTGGTTAAAATAATATAATGTAATACCATGTGATCACATTAATCAATAACATACATATCATGTTTGGTTTATGACAAATCATTATACATAATAAAATAAAAAACTGATTTTTAGTATTGTTTACTTAAGGCATAATTTTAAAACATTCTGTAACTCTTTTCTCAAATGAAAACTTATAAATTAGGAGAAAGTAAACAGCCACAGACAGTGGGTATTTAAGAAGATAAGCATGACCTGAAACAACTCACACCTTCACCAAGTAACAGAATTTGAAGCGCCTCCAATCTGAACCACTCCACTTGGCCTACACCACAATATAAGAGGAAAACCTGTGTAAAAGTAATCCTGAGGTTTTTGATATTCAACATTAATATCTATTTTGTCATGCTCTTGTATGACATCTTCTCAGAATATTGTCCCTCCATTAACAGGATATATAGATAGATTACTGTGTAAAAAGTATTTGTTGTCCAAGTCTAAGTTTCTTGTTTTCATGATGAGGTAACTGGCTATCAAAACTTATGCAAATAAACTTTTGCAAGCATTACAAGGCGGATCAACAATGGCCAAATCAACAGAAACTATTATGTTTAAAAGTCAACTTTACTGTTTAACCCATTCTGTCTCACTGTCCCAGATGTAGAAGACCTATAAAAACTGAAATATAATGTAGGATATAATTGTTCATAAGGATATAATTATAACATTAATTAATATGAGCTGTAGATTGTGATGCCCAACCTATTTTAATGCATTTGTGTCATTTTGTTGAAATATTTGTAGAAATGAAAACTTGGAACTTAATGGGTTAATAACTGAGGTCTTTTAAGTTATATTATATAAAATTCATAAGAATATAACAGCTTTAGTCAACCATAAATCAGAAAGCATTTTGTTTTATAAGTATATTATTAAAAATGGAAAAAAAATAATAAAAGCACTGAAAGAAACAAATAATATATAACAAAAATAAAAATATGAGTAAAAAAAGCATTATGAGGCAAGTGTAGTGGCATGTGCCTGTGATTCAGGAGGCTGAGGCAGGAGGACTGCGAATTCTAGACTAGTCTCAGCAATTTAGCAAGACGTTGTCTCACAAAACGGCTGGAGCCAGGCGTGGAAGTGCATACCTGTAATCCCAGTGGCTTAGGAGGCTGAGGCAGGAGGATCACAGTTTCAAAGCCAGCCTCAGCAACTTAGCGAGGCCCTATGCAACTTAGTGAGACCCTGTCTCAAAATAAAAATTAAAAGGGTTGAGACAGGTGATGTGTCTTAGTAGCTAAGCACCCCTGGGTATAATTCCTGGTTCAAAAAAAAAAAAAAAAGGCTGAAGATGTAACTCTGTGGTAGAGCACCCCTGGATTCAATTCCCAGTATGAAAGGAGGGAGATAAGGTACAGAGGGGAAGGAGAAGCGAAGGAAGAGAAAAAGAAGGAAGGAAGGAAGGAAGGAAGGAGAAGGAAAACCCAGGAGCTTGAAATTCCATGAACAAAAGTTTTCATTTTTAAACTTGTCTTCCATGCAAGAAAACCACTAAAACTATGTAGAAGTGTGAATTTAAGCATCCACTTTCTACAGAGACCTTGTTCACAGCGAACTAAAAAGGTCCCATGTAGCATAATGATAAAACCAAGACTGTTGAAACTGACCAAGTTAGCCATTTGTCAAAAGCATAGACACTCCACTTCTCAATTATTTCAGGAGCTATACAAATACTAGTGATGAGGGAACCAGATGAAAACTGGGCTCTTGCCAGGCTCAGTAGCTCCAGAGGCTGAGGCAGGAGGATCACAAGTTCAAAGCCAGCCTCAGCACTAAAGCAACTCAGTGAGACCCTGTCTCTAAATAAAATACAAAATAGGGCTGGGGATGTGGCTCAGTGGTGGGATGTCTCTGAGTTCAATCCCTGGTACCAAAAAACAAAACAACAGCAACAACAAAAACAGGTTTTGGTTTTTTTTTTTGTTTGTTTGTTTTTTTTGCAAAAAGGAACTTTTTTAAATATTTCAAACTTGAATTTCTTCCACATTTGTACAGTTGGGAATTTTTATGCCTCATCTCTAGTTGTGTGATATTCATTTCCTGGAACAGTGTCTTGAATGGCCAAAGTCAAATATTTTAAGTGTTCCAATACATGATCAGTTTACAGGTTTATAGTAATAACAAGAACTGCCATGTAAAGGCTATGCTTTTCCTCTTAAAATTTATCAGTCAAGAAAAGATACCTCTGATGGTTATAAAAGTCAGGGTGAAGTTCTCAGAAAATGAAGAAAATATACAGTATGGTTTGATCTATCAATGAGGAAGACAATAGTTTTATGAGGTCAAATAAGAAGGGACCCAGTGGGACCTTACAGGCTTTGGTAAAAAATTTTTATTAAGTATAATGAAAAATTATTGTAGATATTTAAAAAAGAAAATGATATAACTCAATTTGCAATAAAATCACTTTATCAATTGCACAAAAAATGTGAGGGGAGAAATACAAGAATGGGAACAAGAGGCCCAATTTAGGAGTTTAATGAAGTCCTAATGAGAGGATAATTGGTTACATTAGGACTGTAGTCATGAACATAAAAGATACAGATGTGACATATACTTAAGAGATCTATAAAATTAAAGGGATTGATAAAATTATCCCCATCTTGTTATGAAGAATAAATGTCCTATAATAAGTGACAAATCAATGTTAACATTATTCCCATTAACAATATACTTTCCAAAAGAACAGGATCAAAGATAGTTGTTTTAGCATCAAGAAAATTTTTGAGTATTAAAAACATCTAATAAAGATTCATTAGAATTTCTCTGGCAATGCAAATGACTAAGAAAAAGTATAGCATAATTTAACAGCTAAACAGATCTGATATAAAAATAGGGTAGAGCAACACAGGGGTACAGGAATGAAAGAAAGATGAGGGATGAAATAAAAGGCCTTCATGTGAGATAAACAGTCTGTAAGAGCTAACTGAGTAGGAGAGCCTTTGCACAAGGTAAAAATGATGCACCAGGAAGCAAAATCTGAAAAAGACTTCAATACTATAGAAGATTTCAGCAAAGTGGATTGAATATATTGGGTTTAGAATATATCAGCAAGATGAAAGTACTCTGATATTTACTAGTCATGTAAAGTTTGTGACCTGATACATAGTCCATCACAAGAATAAGTAAACAGGCAGTAAGCCTTCAGGATTCACTTCCAACTTGTGCCCACAAACCTAGCCACAATGAAGCTACAAATTCCCTCAATATTTGCATCAGTATTGATGACACCTATGAATGCTCCTAAATTCTCTAAGAACTACAGACTCTCTCGTCAAGCCTTTCACAAAAGGACATATGACCTTTTACCAAAGTAACTGTGCATTGAAAATAAATAATCAGACTTGAGACTACTGGACACTCGCTCTGAATTAATACTAATTTCAGGAGATCCAAAATGTCATTATAGTACACCAGTCAGGGTAAGGACTTATGAGCTCAGGCATCAATGGAATTGTAGCTCAGGACCATCTCACAGTAGAGATTGCCAAACTCATTCTGTCATCTCCCCAGCTTCTGAATGCATAATTGGAACAGATATGTTCTACAGCTGGCAGAATTTCCAATTGTGGAGTGAGAGCTGTTATGGTTAAGAAAGGACAGGTGGGGGCCTTCAGAACTGTCTCTACGAGGAAAATAATAAGTAAAAAGCAATGCTCACAGAGAATGAAGAAATTAATGCCACCATTAGGGACTTGGAAATGGTGGGTATGGTGATTTCCAAAAACAACCCAATTCAACTTGAAATTACTTAGCTATATAAGTCAGGATTACCTTCAAAACAAATTTAGGAGTAAACTGGATACTGAGACTGCAACTGTCGAAAATGACCCCCATATTGAAATGATTTTGTTTAGTAAGACAGCATACAAAGACACAAGAAATAGATGGTGCTGAGAAAACTGGAAATCCCTATGTAACAGAATGAAAGTTAACTTCTACCTCTCATCCTGCACAAAAATCAACTCTAACTGGATCAAAGACCTAGGAATTAGACCAGAAATCTTGCACCTACTAGAAGAAAATGTAGGCCCAACACTTCAACATACTGGCTCAGGAAACTGACTTCCTTAGCAATTAATTAAAAATTAAAAGAAAAGAGTTGTATTGCTAAAAAAGTCTGAAAACTCAGCATAATACAAAGAACTTTAGCTTTATATAGCTAGACAGACTCAAGTTCAAAACAATTTTGTTATTTAATAAATAACTACCAATTTTTAAGCAAAAGAAGTCTGTTTCTCTCTCTGACAAATGAGAATTTTATTGTAACTACTCTGGCCATTATTAGAGTAAAATAAAATAACACACTTAAAATACATGGTGTGGTTCTCGGCATATGTAAAAACTTACAGTAATATTATTTGTAATATCTCAGGACTGCAAGAGAAAAACATAATTCCAGATATATACAAAGAGTTTGAAAAAGTAACTTTGAGGATTCTGAATTATAGAAATTATAATACCCGTAGACTTGTGTCTCAAAATATCTCAATCCAAAAGATGTGGCAAAGTTTATGAACCACATTTTACCAAGTGGAAATAGTAACTCAGGAATGTGAAAAAACAAAGTTTAAAGATTTCGCAGCCACTGTTACCATCACCATCATACCCTTTGTTAACCAGATCTAAATAGCAATATTGTATTAAAATTTAAGCCATGCTATTAATATAGAAAATATGAGGATATCAAACACAGAGCTAAATTCAACACACATTAACATAATTCAGAATAACACTCAAAATAATTTTCAGGAATGCCGGTCAAATTAGTCAAGGAATAGGAAATAACTTCCCTTGAATTGTTTATAAGATAGACTTGAAGATAATTTAAAACAATTTGTGCCATAAAACTGATTGAAAATTGGGTAAATTTAATCAGGGGGAGTGGGGATAGGGACAAACTAAATCATAATATATATATTTTTTTATTTCAGGTTACCTATAATTTTACCTCCTCTTCCCCAGTGGATAAATTTCCTTAACTTTGCATTAAATTCATTTAAAAATTTAATAAAATTTGCTACCCAGAAAAAAAAATGAGGAATTCCGGCTTATTATGTTGCATGTAGCATTTGGTTAATGTTTTTCTGCTAAGTATGTGGGAACTTCACATAACTTAAATTTTCATGAAAGAATATATTAATTGGATTAAGTTACTGAGATTTCTATAAAATAATGTGGTGGCAGAAAAATGAACTAGATAAAATACATCAAACATTATGTACCAAATTGAATAAATATTAAAACACAATTGATACCTGCTTGGAAAGCACTTTCATGTGGCCTACGCTTCCTCGACAGTACGCTTCAAGGATCACACCAAACTGTACTGAGACGGCAGGAATATGCACCTCTGACCTGCAGAAAAGTTAATATCCGAGTGGTTTATCAAACACTTCAAGTGACCAAATAAAAATACTGACTTCTCTATTCTGCGAAATAGACTTATGATGTCAACCAAAAAAAAGTACTCCTCATCTCAGGCATAATTACTAGTGAGATAGTCAACTTTCCAATTTGTTAAACTTCACGAGTTCAACAAGACATGAGATTTTATTAGTTAATTCTTTATTCGAAGAAATCTAAAATTTTCACATTTTACCAGATTGATTTACTTGTTGAGGGGGAAAGGTAATAATCAGTCTTACCAAGTTAAAGACAGTTAAGTTGAAACACAGGTCTATAAAATTTGACTTATCATCATGCAATTGACTAAAGCCTGAATTAAATCTATTCAATTTTTTTCCTCACTTAAAGAATAGCATGTATATCTGAAAAAAAAGAATACTTAATCTTGTCACTCCCTGAGGGTTTAAAAATAAGATTGAATTAGATGAGAAAAATTTAAAAAATCTATCAATAAGAATACCAGTATTCAGAAACAAAACCCTAAAATTAATAATACAATATTATAGAGGTCATAATATTTTCTTTAAGAAGCTTAGCCAAAAGGAAGAAAGAAAGGTATCTTTTTTTTCCCCTCTCTGATAATCTAAAGTTTCAACAATCTAAAGCTTGGATGAAAAAAACCAAAATATCTTGAGTACCAAATAAGAAATAAGAAAATCTATAATTTTTCTAGGAAACACAAGAGCAACTTTGGTTCTCATTCCTTATTTTAGTCTTATATGAGTTTGGTGAAATAAGGCTCATGTATTTCTGAAATGACTAAGTTAACAGAGAAACTGAAATTAAAAATTGCTATTGTTATAATAAAATTTTATCTTCATTCAATAACAGGAGTCATGCTAATACCATCCCTAACCTTTTGGAAGGAATAAATAAGCCTGCATTTAGCCTAAACATGTTAAGACATAAGTACATTTTACTGGAAAATAGAAGTACATTATGTACTAATTTCTGTTAAAAATCATGCAGGCCTCAAGGGACACTTATGTGAATTACCTTACTAAATGAAGAGTCTGGGTATCAAGCAACATGAGAAGGCACCAAAACAGTGTAAATGCTATACAGATGATACAGAAAAAATTACAGCAACTGACCATTCCACTAAATGTCTTATATATTTACTAAAGCACACAGAGGTTCAAAATGAAAAATATAATAGACTTACCTAAGATGCCAAAACAGAAACTGCCCTATCCTCCGATTAGCAAGTGCCCTTTCTAATAGGAATCTAGAGAGGGCACAATCAAGAAAAGGCTCATATTTTAAAACTTGCACCAGTTGTAAAAGATATTGAGAAAGTTCCTCATCACTGAAAGAAAGAAAGAAAGAAAAGACAAAGTAACTCAACCAGTTGTGCCAGAAAAAGATCCTTTCCTATATAACTGTTGAATGCTAACTTACTGACACACAGGGGTCTTCTGGGTCAGGCTTGTTACATGTTCAATTCCCTGTACCACTGTTAAAATAGCTCAAGGAAAGTTTAGGAGTTCAGATTGGGGTGGGAGAGTGGAAAGGATCAAGGAACAGGTACAGGGACATTTCTATCAAATGAATTAGCTTTTTACAATTCATGATTACATTTAAAATTAGCCAAGAGTTTCCAAGAGTTAGGTACTCTATTACTACTGATTTCTGATCATGTTAAAAATCTTAGATATTTAAGCAAGCAATAATTTTTAAAAAAAAAATATTATTTTAGGGGGCTGGGATAGTGGTTCAGTGGTAGAATGCTTGTCTAGCATGCATGAGGCACTGGGTTTGATCCTTAGCACTACATTAAAAAAGCAAACAAATAAAATAAAGGTATTGTATTTGTCCACAACTAAAATAATATTAAAAAAATTTTTTTAGTTGTCAACAGACACAATAATTTTGTTTATTTATTTATTTTTATGTGTTGCTGAGGATCGAACCCAGTACCTCTCACATGCTAGGCAAGCGCTCTATCACTGAGCTACAACACCAGCTTCTCAAGCAATCATTTTAAAACAAAAATTTCATCAGTACTTTAGCAATTTAGTTTCCTTTCCTAGAATTAGGGTTAAGTAATTCCTTCTTCGGAGAAATAAACAATTAAAATCTTAACTTCAAATAATTTGAAGAATAAGGAAATGAAGGCATTTCTAAGTGGGGACTATATTGATTTGCTGAATTATAATAAGAATACCATCATTAACAGGGCTGAGTTAGTGGTTCTCTAGTTGGTGTCTTATCTCCAAACTATTCACTGTAAACACACTCCCATTAGAGGCAATTTCTAAAGTAATGAAGGTATGAATCAAAAGTTTTCCAATTATTGACTATAGTCTTCGACAATAAATGACTAAGAAAGGAGGCTAAGGAAGATATAGGACTGAAACTCAGAGTATTAAGTGACAAAAACATGTATGAAGATACAAGTGGTGTGAATATACTTTGTATACAACCAGAGATATGAAAAATTGTGCTCTAAATGTGTAATATAAATTGTAATGCATTCTGCTCTCATATAAAACAAATTAGAATAAAAATTTAAAAATGACAAAAATAAAACTCATAATTATGAATTTCATAGCAATCTTCTGAGGGAAACCAATGCATTTAAGAAAAACACTTGGTCCAGCCCAAGGAGAACCAGTTGGCTTCTCCCCATCAGTTCTCCAATCCAAACTTAGATGGGAGCTTCATTTTTAAAAATTATCTATACGACAATCTTAATTAGGTTTATTGCAAAATTTCTGCCTATTATAAAACTTATAAGTAATAATAAAAAAAGGGGGGGTTAAAAACAGAAGGTAATGTTAGGCAGTGAACTCGTATTTCCCAGAAATTTGGTAGGCTAAAGTAAGAGGATCACACATTTGAGACCAGTTTCAGCAACATAGTGAGATCCTGTCTGAAAATAAAAAATAAAGAGGACTGGAGATGTAGGACTGGGCTACATTCCCAACACACACACCAATAAAAGTAGGCAGCTTCTCTTATATATCTAAATTAACTCCCCTGAAATAACAACTATAGAAGAGTTTAATTTTGTTTGTATTTCACACATTGTTTTAAACGTACCTGATTTTAAAAAGAAAAAGGATATATTGTTCTGAGAGCTTTTAATTTTCAAATAACCACACAATACATAAGCCTCATATGCTAAACCTGAAACTCCCCACTGAGACTGTTCTTTCCTCAATTCTATAGATTCTCACATATATACTGTCCAAAGGGGACTGCACATGTTCACTGCAGCTCTATTTATAAGAAGGAAATTTGGAGAAACAATAATTTTCCTTAATAGGATAATAAATTATAAGTAAGATATCCCTCTTACACAGTAGCAAATATACAGTGGTAAAAAGAATAAATTACATTTATTTATTTATTTTTTAATTATTTTTCAGTTTTCGGCAGACACAACATTTTAATTTTTATTTTATGTGGTGCTGAGGATCGAATCCAGCGCCCCGTGCATGCCAGGCGAGCGCGTTCCCGCTTGAGCCACATCCCCAGCCCATAAACTACATTTATACATAACAGAAGAGACTAACCTCAAAAACCTAATGTTAAATTTTTAAAAACCAATATATAGGACAATATATATGGCACGGTACAGTGATGAGTTCCTACAGACCCAGACATTTAGGAAGTTGAGATAGAGGATTATTTGAGCCCAGGAATTCAGGGCCAGCATGGACAACACAGTTGAGACTCTGTCTCAAAACAAAAACAAAAACAAAAACCACATTCATGTAATTTAAAATGTACCCTATTATTTTATATGTAACTTTATACATATAAATATGTAGGAAGAAACACAAAACTGATATAGGAGGATACATCAAATTCACGATAAGTTGTCTCTAGGAAAGGACTGAAATAATCAAAACTGGGCCAGAAAACAAGGACTTCAACTTTAACTATATTACATTAGCCTTAAAAACAAAACAAAACAAAACAAAACAAAACAAAACAAAAAAACCCCACATTTTTTTAAACACCTGTTATAAGATAGTAACATAATATCTTAATTTTGGGTATTAGACTGTGTTATAGTGAAGAAGAGTTACAACTTCCTTCTCTGCTATCCTTTGAAAAGCCTGTTTACATGTACCTGGTCTGTGGTTGGCATTTGGGTAGTAACACTCCAGAAAGGTTTCTACCACCTAGTGGCTTGCTACACCTAAATTCTTTGTGTAGTGTGGTCTGTGCTGCACTGTTTCCTTTGGGGAGTCTAGAAATTTGGGACATGGTAGGCTGATAGTACTTATATGACTAGCACCCAATAAAAGCAGCAGCCAACAACTCTCAAGTTTTCCTTGATTCCTTCCTTCCCTCCTTCTCTCCATTCTTCCTTACCTCACACTTAGTAGGCAAGCACTATGATGCTAAGCCACACCCTACCCCTTCTTATTTTGAGATAGGGCCACACTAAGTTGCCCAAGCTGACCTCAAACTTGCAATCCTCCTGCCTCAGCCTCTCAAGTAGCTGTAATTACACATATGCACCCCCACATCTGGCTGGCCTTCTTTATAATGAGAAATTCAAAGAGGCATGCTCTTAACTACCCACCCTCAAGTTAGTGCTTGCCCCAAAGAAAGCCACCTGTAAGAGATACCTCATCTGTCGCAGGCAGCCCACAGCATATTCCCGAACGTACTGATCTGGATAGTTGAAATCCAAAAGCTCCAGAGCATCTCGAGGAGAAAGTTTAGGCCATATCTGAAGCAGTGCCTGAAGCTGTTTAAAAATTGAAACTGGTTCAGAAATAATGGAGGACAAAAGCAATGTACTTTCCTTTGGCATACTGGAGCACACATATGGGTCAACTATTAATGCACCAAAAATCTATCCTGGTTATATGAACTAACAAAGATTGATCTCAAAATATTCTATAATTAAGTTTAAAAAACAAACAAACAAAAAACTATTTAGTACTTACCTGAAAATTTAATAAGAAATAAGACGCGGAATATATGGATTCTAAAATCATTAACAAATATAAGCTGCAAAACTCAAACTAATGAAAGGCAATTTACATTTAAGAAGTTTACTACTAATAATACATAAAACTAAAAAGAAATTTATGTTTAACTCTTAATTTTAAAAAAATATCACTTTACAAAATCGACACTGGTGCAGAACTATTGTTTAGAATACAGTCCTTAATTCAAAGAAAAAGATCATTTACAAAACTTTATATTGATCATAACATGTTTAAATCATAATTAATATAATGAAGCCCTTTTCCACGCTTCTTCTGACTCTCCACTTCTCAAGGTGTTAGATTTACTAAGAAAATAGTTTATATTCTTTTGGTTGGGGAAGGAACCAAAACTCATTCTTTCTTATTGTATCAACACTTTAATCTACTAAAAATGGGCACAGGGTTATAAAATTATACTTTTCTATACTTGCTTACACACAGTTAATACTCAACTATTAAACTACACTGCTGGAGGGGGGGATAGTAGAGGATAGAAAAGGTAGCAGAATACAACAGTCACTAATATGGCAGTATATAAAAATGTGGATGTATAACCGATGTGATTCTGCAATCTGTATTTGGGGTAAAAATGGGAGTTCATAACCCACTTTATTCTAATGTATGAAATATGATATGTCAAGAGCTTTATAATGTTGTGAACAACCAATAAAAAAAATAAATAAACTATACTGCTGGCTTTCTTCTACCAAAATGGGAGGAACTTAAGTTACATCTCAAAACAATGCTTCACACTTCCTTCTTAGGAATCAAGACAAGCATGCTAAATTCCTGAATGTAAAAATGTCTGTCCCTAGAAGTCAAATGAATACTAAGCATAAACTAGTTCATTTCATTTTTGAGAGTTGATACATGAAACCTCTCTATAAGACATTTGAAGAGTACATCAAGAGGAGCTAGGAGTGTAGCTCAGTGGCACACATACAAGGCCCTGGGTTCCATCCCCAGCACTATCAAAAAAGCAAAAACAAACAAAAAAGGAGTATAGAAACTTTTCCTATTGTGATTCTAATGAAATAATATGATTCATTTCTTGGATATATATACATAGCTCAAGACACTATCCATGAGACATAAGTAAATGTGCAAACTTAAAAAAAAAAGGCTTAGATCTTATTTTCCACCATTAGTGGGATTCAAAGAAAATTAACCTTCAGGGCTGGGGTTGTGGTTCAGTGGTAGAACACTTGCCTAGCATGTGTGAGGCATTGGGTTTGATTCTCAGCATCACATTTTTTTTTTAAAAAGGTCTATTGACAACTAAAAAAAAATATGTATTTAAAAAAAAGAAAGAAAATTAGCCTTGAATTTAGACAAGTGGTTAGAAGGCAACAGTGATTCTGGAGCAATTAAAGCTATCTAAATAATGTAAAATAGTTCCTTTTCAGATTAAATAATGTTAATTTTGTCTAATCTAGAAACACTCTAATAAAGGCATGTACAATAATGTAATTATATCATTCAAAAAAACCTTTAGATGCTAGAAGTAAACTGAAAAGAAAACATTTCTACGTTTAATAAAAGTAGTAAAACAAAACTAAAGACTTTAAAAATAAATATGATTAAACTGGGCATGGTAGCATACACCTGTAACTCTAGTGACTCTGAAGCTTACAAGAGGATAGAAAGTTACAGGCCAGCCTCAGCAACTTAATGAGACACTGTCTCAAAATTTAAAGAAGGGAAGGGCGTGATGGCGCATGCCTGTAATCCCAGCAGCTTGCTGGAGGCTGAGACAGGAGGATGCCGAGTTCAAAGCCAGCCTCAGCAAAAGCGAGGCACTAAACAACTCAGTGAAACCCTGTCTTTAAATAAAATACAAAATAGGGCTGGGGATGTGGCTCAATGGTTGAATGCCATTGAGTTCACTCCCTGGTATCAAAAAAGGAAGGAAGGAAGGAAGGAAGGAAGAGAGGGAGGGAGGGAGGGAGACGGATGGACTAGTGATATAGCTCTGCAGTAAACTATCCCTGGGACAAATCTCTCATAAACCACTCCCCCCCCAATAATATGATTAAAATAAAAATACCATTTTTGGAATCTAATACTACCATTCTTTAGGTATTTAATAAATTTTGTGTTCTTTTTCCTAGTTAAAGCAAACAAAAATGTATTTTTCGTATTTTTTTGTATATGTATTTTTCACTAAAATTTTAAAGCCATTATGATACACCGAGATCACAGAGCTAGAGAAATCAGTTAAATTCAAAGAAAATAAACAAATTTCATTTTTTAAAATAGGCAAATTTATTTGTTCTGATTTAAAATATCACTTCAAGTTTCTTTCTATTGAGCATTGGGGGCCATATGACTTTAAAGTACCTTTTTTGTCTGTGGGAGGAGATATTGGGGATTGAATTCAGGGGCACTTGACTGCTGAGCCACATCTCCAGCCCTATTTTGTATTTCATTTAGAGACATGGTCTCTAAATTGCTTAGTGCCTCACTTTTGCTGAGGCTGGCTTTGAACTCTCCCATCTTCCTGCCTCAGACTCCTACGCAGCTGGGATTATAGGCGTACACAACTGTGCCCAGCTTAGAGTACTTTTTGACAGTCTTGATAATTATATCAGGGAGCCCAAATGTGGCTGCTTTTCAAGAGCAAAACATTTTCCCCTTCTCTATTCTGCCTGAATGACATATTTACCTATGTTTAAAGTTACATATATATCAATACTACCCATGCATGTGAATGTTAAGATTGAATTGAATGGTTTAACATCAACTTCTACAATAGAGCTAAATTAACTCCCATGATAGTGGTAATTTTCAAACAATATTCATTTTAGAGCAGTCAGCTGGATTTGGTGGTACATTCCTATAATCCAGTGATTGCAAGTTCTAGGCCAGCTTTTGTTTATGGAGACACTGTCTTAGAGTGGGAAAAAAAAAAAAGTAAAAGGCTGGGCATATTGCTCAGGTGTAAAGCACTTCTGGTTTGATCCCCAGCAACACAAAATACATACATACATTCATTCACACATAGGGGTTCACTGAAGAAACTGGCAAAAGTGCCCAAGACCTAGAAAGTGCTTCTTTTCATAGGTGACTACCCAAAACCAATGTTTTGGTTGTCTTTAGTGAAAGATACAGCAACTCTATCTAGAATCTGGGATTTTTAAACCTTGAAACTTTCTGGTCCAATATATAAGGATGGACCAGAGGACTTAAAGTTTAAAACTTCAAAATTTCTCCTGAGGAAAATTATCCAACATATGGAAATCAACCTATAAGGAAAGGACACTTTATATAAAATTAACAAAGAAACATATGCACCTAAAAGGAGCTACAGAAATGACATTTTGTTACCTGAGCGACATCTTCAAGTTTATTCCACTTGATCGATAGGAGTAATTTTGGCAGTGACTGTGGGAAATTCTCTCTGCAGTCTTGACGCAAAGTCCAAATAAGATCCATTTCATTCTCACACAGCTGCGACAAGGGATCCCTGTCCAAGATTTCTTTCAGTACAGCAAGAAACTTTTTTCCACCTCGACTCTACAGGAGTAAAATACTCATTACAGAATTTAATTATGCAAATATCACTGGCAAACATTCAGCAACTCTGTATACGAGTTTATACGCACTTATAACGTGAAATACAAATACATAATTCCCTAAAGATACAAGTGGATAAAAAATAAAAGTGGATCCATTTAAAAAGTTTTAATTGCTCAATGTTAAATTTATAAGCTAAACATTAAGAATCAAAGTAGCTCTAAAAAAGGGAAAAAAAGAATAAATTTTAAAAAATCTATGTGCAAACGCTAGGTGGCAGGAGTGCATTTCGGTTAAAAACCAAGTTACTCATTATTTGAACAGAATTTAAGATGACCCAAATGTATAAGGTAAAAAAATAAAAGTAATAAGTAGATGTTACCTGGGCTCAAAATCTCTTTAAATGAAGAACTTTCTGTTAGGGTTTGGGTGCAGCTCAGTGATAAAGTGCATATGTAGCACGTGTAAGATCTGGGTTTCAATCCTCAACAACACAACAACTTCCCCAAAACAAAACAATGTTGGCTAAAACTAAATATGATACTGTGTGCCTGTAAAAATATTTAACAATGAATTCCACACAATGCATGCACACGTGTGCACGCACGCGCGCGCACACACACACACACACACACACACACACACTCAACAAACTGAGGGGGAAAAACCCTATTTTCCTTCCCAATATACTGAAAAAAAGAAGACAGGGAGGATGAAGGTGAACAGGAGGATCATCTGAGCCCAAGAGTTTGAAGTCAACGCAAACAACACTGAAAGGCCTTGGAGAGAGGAGGGGCAGGTCAAAATCAGGTTAAATACCTTAATAAGGTGATGATAAATTTGTATAGATCCAATTAACCATATGTATACATAATTCAATAAATGAAACTACCATCATCTTATTAAGGAACTTAACCTGCTCTTCATACATATGTGTTTGTGTGTATACATACATGTTCATATGTGTATAATGCCATGAAAACACAGTTCTCTTCATCCTCTCATCCACAAGCCCAAATAGTGGCACTGGGGATGTAGCCCAGTGGTAATGTGCTTGCCCAGTGAGCACAAACTGTAGACTATACTCAGCACCAGGGTTGGCGGGGGCGGGGAGGGGGCCCATAAAGTATAAAACATGTCGTTTTGAAAATAATAGCCAAAAGGAGCCCTAGGAAATGACAAAGAGTGCCTGACACCAGAAATTTTTAGGGAGAGAATGCAGAATGCAGACAGGACAAGAGATCAGATATTCTAATCCCATGTAGTAGTAAGAATGCTATGCACACAATCTTTGGGGAGCTCTAGCTCAGAATGAAGGCATTCAAGGAGTGGGAGGGAGCCACTGGCAATCACAAAGAGGACCACTATGGGACTGTAGATAGTCAAGCATGCTCCTTTCTCTTTCGGTGCTAAGACGGAACAGCTATGGTATCAATTCCAGATTTAGGTGAGAAGCATGGGTATTGAGCCCTAGGAAGTCAACTGATTCCAGAATGCATAGAAGTCCTCTCATTTGGGATACTCTAATTCCTACAGTTACTTAAGACACATTACAGGCAGACAATCAGGAAGTCTCTCACTAGTCAAGAAAACCCAACATAATGAAAGTACTTCTAGGAATTGATCCTACAAAATACACAGATGTATGAAGCAGTATGTACAAAATAATCACTGCAGATGTTTTAATAGAGAAAAGCTGAAAATAAGCAAAACATCCATCAATAGGAATATGTATGTTGAATAACTAATGGTTACTAATGAATATAACTACAGAATATTGAAGTATGTGAAAAATGAAGACCTATTCATGCTAACATATCCACAAACTGTATTAAATAAAAAGATAAAATTATATAAAAATGATCTCACTTCTTAAAATGGAGGAAAATAAAGACATTTACACTAAACTTAATATTGGTAACTACAAACTGAACTCTTTATACAGCTCTGGAGAGAAGAGCACACAGAGGTTATAGATAGAGACTTTCATTTTTGGTTTATTTCTTAATTGCACTACGTACCTAAATTTATTTATTTTTTTGGGGTGTGTGTGTGTGTGTGTGTGTGTGTGTGTGTATGTGTGTGTGTATAATACACACACACACACACACACCCAAAGATCTCAATAAGATTACTAAAATCAGTATTCAGGGAACCCTCTGATTAAGTAAGGTACAAGATTGTGGCAGAAATAGTGAAAATTAATTCAAGTCTCTGAGGTTCAAGGAGCAATATTTAGTGTAACACATAGATACTAAAGAGGCATTAGAACCAAGACTTGACTTAATGACCTGTTTTAATAATTACCTGACAAGTTGGTAAGTGTATACCAGTATTAAACTTTTGGTACATTAAAAGAGAATTACCTTTAACCTTCTTTTTTTTTTTTGCTTTTGTTTTTCTTTCCAGCAACTCTTAGAACACAAAAATGATAGGGAAAAAAGATGAGGGGGCAGGCAGAACTCAGATCCTGAAGTCCCAACCTGACCCAGAGCCTTTCTAAACTGGTACTCGTGATTCACCTTCTTGGGTCAAGCATTAATATTCAAAAGACAAAATTTAAGCTAAGAGACATTAATATGGAAGTAGTAAAAGGGGACTTGCACTTTGAGATTCTGAGAGATTTCATGGCAAAGCAGAAAAGAGCCTAGGCCAGATACCCCTCCAACTAGTAAACATCAAGCAGTGCTTTGATACTCTGAGAATGAGAAAAACATACATAAATATCTCTATTTGGCTTCCTAGACTCTATATCATTAATATTCTATGTGTAAAAGGGTTTTTCTGAAGACACTTAAAAGTTGTTATGTGAGACCAAGAAAGGTGAATATTAGGACAGAGTTCAAACAAAGTCTTAAGTTATAAAGTTAAAAAACTTAAAGATCCATTCTGTTACTTTTTCCTGTAATGGGATGGCTTACTTTTAGCCATGCATCTGATGGCCCAGTTAAAGACTGCATTTCCCAATCTGGCTTGCAGTTTGGTTATAGTTGTGAGATCTGGCCAATGAGATGGGAGCAGAAATGAAAACATACTAACAATATCCTCTAAATAAGACTGGGGCATGGCCTCTAGTCTCACTTTTGTGCTCCTGAAGCCTGTATCATAGCAAAGTAGGAAGCTAGAGCAGAAATATTAAATTATGAAGTGGGAACTGTAAGCTAAACATGGCAGAATTTCAAAATGGAAGACATATAGATCTTCACACCACTTTCTTGTCCTTATAAACACTTGCTTTGTTTCACAAAGATAACAGTCTCCTTGTTCAAATGAGTAACATTCACTAAGAGTACTGTTAATCTCCAAGGTGCAACAACATCCCTTAGAGATGGCTGAACCTGCACTTACATTGCAAAATAGCTTAGTAACAGTGCACAGATGGTCCACAAACTGAGCTGCCATTTAATAAAACTCAGTATATGCATACTTACCCACACTCACATACTGCTCTTGCATATGAGTTATGGTCTTCCACAAGTTCACTACCATAAATGAGATGAAGGTACAAAATAATGCATACAATTCTATAAGAAGACAGTCATTTAAAACTCTTGATACTTACTGCTACATTAGCACTATCACTGCTTGCAATCTCAGCTGCCTTTTCAATAATCTGTTTAAAAAAAGTTTTAAAGTTAAAATTTGATTCCCATATTCATACAATTTTAAGTGTACATAACTATGCCTGTACTTAGATTGTAAGAGACTACATTATGGTCTGGCATTTCTGCATTTTACAATGGAAACATGAATTTTAAAAGCAAAATGGTGCTTCCCAAGTGCTTCAAACCTTTGGCAACAGGGAAACAGTGATATTACTGTAAGAGACTGCAACTCCTAGGGGACATTAGCATTATCTGTAGGTAAAATAAGTAAATATATAAGTACATATATATGTAACACTTTTTTTGGAAATAGAAATAAACAAATTTTGGTTAAAAAATGCAAGTGTTTATAAGAGTTACTAAATGTAGAACAAGTTCTTATCATTTCTCCCTTTTCGCCTTAAGTAATAGATACTAAAAGCAGAAGTTGGGCTAAAGGTATAGCTTTAGCTCAGTAGGGAAGTGCTTGCTGAGTCCTGGGTTTGATCCTCAGCACCAATACCAAATAACAACAACAAAACAAACAAAAAAACCAACAAGTAAAGTAAAAGTAATGACTAGGGAAAGCCTAAAAATATTTTTAAAATTCATTGTTTAAAGGGGGTGCTCAATCTCGAAAAGAAGGAAACTCATTGGTCTAGTGGAAGATCAGTGGATAAACAATCAGAAGATCCATTTCCTATTTCTGAATAAATAATTTATCTATATTCTCATGTATAGCATGATAATTCCCATCCTATTTCATAGGGTTGCTGTGATAAAGTGAGATTATAGTTATTAAAATTAAGCAAGAGCCATAAAATTGGCTTGAAAAGCAAAATGTATGCAAGTGGTTACAGCAACAAAGTTAAATAAAAAGAATAGGACCCATGGGAACTTTTGCATTTTACATAGGTATTGCTTATTTTATAATAACCATATATAATTGCAAAATTAAAGGAAAACCAATTAAATATAAATGTATTTATACATATTTAAAAACTAAAATCTTTATTCCTAACTGAACTTCTTCAAGACAGCCTTCTCAAGAGACTAGAAAGGCAAAGGAAAATTTAGTGACCAGTTATGGATGACTATGGTCAATAGTCAAATATATTTTTAAAAAACTTGACCTCTGGGGCTAGGGATGTGGCTCAAGTGGTAGTGCGCTCGCCTGGCATGCATGTGGCCTGGGTTCGATCCTCAGCACCACATACAAACAAAGATGTTGTGTCCACCAAAAACTAAAAAAATAAATATTTTTTTTTTAAATTTTCTCTTTCTCTCTCTAAAAAAAAAAAAAACAAAAACCTTGACTTCTCTTAAAATCTTAGATTAAATTCACTTACATTTACATGGGATGCTATAGTTGTAAAAATACTTCAAAAACCATGTCATTTGATCCCAAGTAAATTATAATTGACTGTTGAATACAAACCATAACTGAACACAGTAACAATCATTATATTAAATGTAGCATAAGCAGTTACAGCTTATAGAGAAATTTCTATCCATGGTCAACTAAAATCACCACAAAAACATAATGGATGAGTCAAAATGTACTTTTTTCTACTTAATGCATACTAAAGGATATGGGTCCTACCATATTTGAGATTTCAATCATAAGAAACACAAAATGTAATTTGGTTGTAAATTATCAGTCAGAAAAGCATTCTTAAAGGACCTGAAGTGAAAAGTTACCTCTTGGGTAGATAAAATCAAATTAAAGTGAAAATGATATAAAAAACACCAAATTACATAAATTAAATGTATATAATACTTTTAAAACATCTCCTTTAGTGTTGGGGATGCAGATTGGTGGTAGAATGCTTGCTTATTAACATAGGTGAGGTTCCTGGGTTCAATGCCCAATACCTCCCATGTGAAACAACAACTCTACAGGATTTAGTGTTAAATATTAAAATGCAATTAAGTTTAATGTGGATTAATTTGTAATATTGTTTAGTAAAACATCTTTAAAGGCAGCTTATTCTCAATTGGATTAAGAAAAAAAGAAACTTGTTTATTTTTTGAGAATTTGTTCAAAATTTCTGCATAAAAATCCACATCAACCATGTCTGAAACAAGGATGCCAAACCTGAAGATAAAAATATGACATCTTAGCCCTCTGAACATAAAAATTATCAAAGTCCTATTTTCAGTCCTCACCAGATAATCTCCTTATCCTTAAGACATACAGTTCACATACTAAAAAAATATATTTGTAAATGGAAGTACCTATGTAGACTCTATACAAATGCCACCTTAAGAAGTCCTACAAATAGTAATATTCAACATAAATAATCCAGTCTTTGAATATCAATTCTAAAACAATAGTGATTTTGTCTTTAATCTCTGAATCAACATGTTAGATATGTTTCACTGAACATTTTATGTGTTCAGTTACATATTAATGTATTTATGGCCTTTTTACATTGAAAATGATTTCAGAATAATTACAATTTTGTCACTTCAAAACTGAGGAACCTGAACTCCAGAAGCCATGCCTTACTTGGTCAATGATATCACCAGAACTCATAGGGCTTGCAGGTTCCCTGCCATGCCTTGTTACTGAACCAAACCATTAATTCATGTTAAGTTTTAAGGCGAAGTAGACATGTTGAGCTCAAACTGCAAACATACAGAGCCAGGAAATAAACACTTTAAATTATTTCATGCACAGTGGTCCTCTAAATAATTAGCTTACCTTATCGAAAGGAGGGTAATAATAAGGTTGTTTTTTATTCTCTGGAAATTTAATATGTAAAGCTGTTGCATTTTCAGTATATGGATTTGTCTGAACAGTTCCCATAGGATTCAACATTTCTTCAAGTTCATCTAAAACATGCAAATAATTTTGATTCTTAAGAAACATTTTCAAAACTAAACTAAAAAAAAACAAAAACAAAAACAAAACTGAGCAAGGCATAGTGGCACACGCCTGTAATCCCAGCAGCTTGGGAGGCTGAGACAAGAGGATCTCAAATTCAAAGCCAGCCTCAGCAACAGCTAAGGTACTAAGTAACTCAGCAAGACCCTGTCTCTAAAGAAAATACAAAATAGGGCCGGGGATGTGGCTCAGTGGTTGAGTTCCCCTGAATTCAATTCCTGGTATCCCCCAACCCCAAACAAAACTGTAAGGTATTTCTCCCATGTAAATGACACAAACAGTACTGTCACTTAAGAAAGTCTGGCAGATGGTTCTATCAATAAGTCTCTAGCTTTCTATTAGAGCTTGGAATAAAGTTTCTGTATGAGTTTGTACACATCTTTAAAATAAGAAAGTTAACAAAAATCAATAAATACTTTACCTCCTTCTTCATATTGAATAAGGCTTCTTGACTCTGAAAAAAGCTTAACTGGAACTGCTCTCCCTATATCAAAATTAGGTAACCCACAGAAACCATTTTATCACCGCATGTGGACTTTTTGTTGCTTTTCTTATTAGTTATACATGATAGCAGAATGCATTTTGACATATTATACATATAAGGAATATAACTTCCCATTCTTCTGGTTGTACATTATGTGGAATTACAATGTTGTGTACTCACATAGCACACAGGAAAGTAATATCTGATTCATTCTGTTCTCTTTCCTATTCCCATTTTCCCTCCCTTCCCTTAATTCTCCTTTTCCCTACCCACACCTTATTGTGATTTGGCATCTGCATATAGGAGAAAACATTTGGCCTTTGGTTCTTTGGGATTGGCTTATTTCACTTAGCATGATAGTCCCCATTTCCATCCATTTGCTGGCAAATGCCATAATTCATGGCTGAGTAGTATTCCATTTTGTATATGTACATTTTCTTTATCCATTCATCTGCTGAAGGACACTAGGCTGATTCATAGTTTAGCTATTGTGAACTGAGTTGCTATAAACATTGATGTGGCAGCGTCACTGTAGTATGATTTTAAGTCCTTTAGGTATAAGCCAAGGAGTACGATAACTGGGTCAAATAGTAGTTCCATTCCAAGTTTCCTGAGTTATCTCCATATGGCTTTCCAAAATGGTTGCAACAATTTGCAGTCCCATCAGCAATGTATAAGTGTACCTTTTCCCCCACATCCTCACCAGCATTTATTGTTACTTGTATTCTTGATAATTGCCATTCTGACTTCAATGAGATAGAATCTCAGTGTAATTTTTAATATGTGTTTCTTTAGCTGCTAGAGATGTTGAATATTTTTTCATATATTTGTTGACAGATCGTATTTCTTCTGTGAAGTGCTTGTTCAGTTCTTTTAATCATTTATTATTTAGGTTATTTGGTTTTGGGGGTATTAAGTTTTTGGGTTTTTTTTTTTTTGAGTTCTTTATATATCCTGGAGATTCATGCTCTGAAGTGCATGGTGGCAAAGGTTTTCTGCCGTTCTGCAGGCTCTCTCTCCATGTGAACCTCTTAATCACATATGATCTGGTTTTCACGATCACTACAGTATCCATGCTGATATTCAAAGAGTCAATGACATTCCTCTTGTCAAATCTACATTGTAATGTTCCCTTTATTATCCTGCAACTCCTAATACAAATAACTTCTCTCGTGTCTCTGCAGTACTCCTTCCAAGTGGTACTCTTTTTACCTTACCAGTCACATTTTTCCTCAAGACACTCCTTCCTTTCTTCTCCACCAACCTAACCATGGTCCATTCATGGATTTGAACATGTAATCTTAGGATTGCAAGAAAACCCTAAAGTTCAGATAATATAACTTTCTAATTTAACAGATAAGTAAACTTCAGATGAGAGAATAGACTTAAGAGTACAATTTTAGGTCTCCCCTCTCTAAAGTAACATCTGTTTTCTTATGATTTTTTATAACAGTTGTTCTTTCTGTATGTTCTAAAAAAATAAATAAAATAAAATAAAAAAGTCCATTCTTTCTAGACCTAATGTCCATAAAGTATGTACACTTGGAATGATTTCCCAAAGACAGAAACTGTTGCCAGACACAGTAGTGCACAACTATAATCCCAGCTACTCAGTAGGCAGAGGCAGGAGGATTCCAAGTTCAAGATCAGCCTCAGTAGGTTAGTGAGAAGCTGTCTCAAAATAAAAACAAAATGGGCTAGGGATTTAGTTCAGTGGTAGAGCATCCTTGAGTTCAATCCATAGTGCCCAGGGGAAAAAATGGGTAGGAAAACTATAAATTTCAGTTCTTTAATCTTTTGTTCATCTATTTAAGATTTTCCAGTCTTATAGATTCAATTTTTACCTTGATGGAAGCCAGTTCTGATTATTTATTCACTTTCAGAGTTATTTATCAGTAAATTATAATCCCACAGTTGTGCTCTCCAGCAACATTACACTAATTCGTGCATCATTTGAAATCAGATAGGACATATCTGAACCTATCTGAAGTCAAATATAAGGTTTTAGTACTTTTAGAGTAAAAATTCGTACAATTTCTATTGGAGAGTAATTTATAATTATTGAAATTACAAATGTATTTATTCTTTCACTAAAAAAAATCCACTTCTGGGAATTTACTTTAGACATATATCTGCACATAGGGCAAGGTTTTTCATTATATTATTTGAAGTATCAAAAGCTAATTCTCATAACAACAAAAAGGTAATTCTCTATGCACACTGATTAGAAAATTCTAATTTGTATAAGAATAGGGACATAAATAGAAATCTACATTTGTATTTCCTAGTGTACATACATGAAGAATTCTGCAAAGATACAAAAGAAACCAATAAATGTGATTATATAGCTTGCAATGAAAACCTAGAGACTTTGGATGACACATTATTTGTAGTTGCTTTGTTTCTTGTTTGCCTCTGTTGGAATAAACATGACAATTCTAGAGCTGATACAGGCAAAGCTAATTCTGTTCATTTATTATTTTTATCATACATTTTCTTAAGAGATGAAGTCAGGTTCAAGGTAATGCTAAGTTAATACCATCAAAAAATCATCATTTTCATTGATAATGATAATTATCAAGTTGTTTGTATATTCTGGAGCACATGTGTGAGAGTGGGATTTTCAAGAAAGTATAATTTTCACTCTATTGTGAAAATATAGCTCATCATCAGAAATGTGTCAAATACTCATAGCTCTCCTATATTTGAGGAATAGCATGATTAGTGAATATTATTGGAAGTTTAAGCAGCCGAGGGTAGATATAAGATACACACAAGTGCTTATTTACACACACACACACACAATTATATTGCATATTTGGGGGGGAGGGTTTACCAGGGATTGAACTCAGGGGCACTCAACCACTGAGCCACATCCCCAGCCCTATTTTGTATTTTATTTAGTGACAGGGTCTCATTGAGTTGCTTAGCGCCTTGCTTTTGCTGAGGGTGGCATGATCTCATGATTCTCCTGTCTCAGCCTCCAGAGCTGCTGGGATTATAGGCATGTGCCACTATGCCTGGCTTGCATAGAGTTTTTAAGTGTCAGGAAATAACTAATTATCAAAAAATAATTTATCAGGTAGCAACTCCTAAAATAACATTTTCAAATGTCTGTCACAAAATACTCTAAAAAATCTAATAAGTTAACAAGGTTGCCAAGTGTGGTGGTGCAAACCTATAGTCCCAGCAACTAAGAAGGCTGAGGAAGGAGGATTGAAAGTTCAAGGCCAGTCTCAGCAACTTGTAAGACCCTAAGCAACTTAGCATGTCTCAAAATAAATAATAAAAAGAGAGCTGGGGATGTAGCTCACTGGTAATGTACCTCTGGGTTCAATACTCAGTACACTACTCCCCCCAAATTCCACAATGTTACCAAACATATTAACAAACTATAAAGACAGAAAATGAGAAATAAAAACACTATTATAAATAAAAACTTGACATTATAATTTCTAAATTTTGAGTAAAGCAGTATAGAATAATGGAAAGAGCAGTCTTTCATTCAAATTCTAAGTGTGGATCAATAAGGCAAGATTGACTTATACTTTGTGATCTTTACTTTATTCATCAGTAAAAAGATAATAAATTATCTCATTTGATCAGGGTTTTTTAAGTAATATTTGAGAAATGCTGTGGAAAGGACTCTACTTACCTCAAACTTTAGACTAAAGCCAATTTTAATAAGGGGTTTTATTACCTATCCCATTTTAGTAAATGCTCCTTCTACTAGTTAGTACTAGTTAGCACAACTAGAAACAATAAAGGTTGTTAAGACATTCTGGGCTGGGGTTGTACCTCAGTAGTAGAACGCTTGCCTAGCATGTGTGAGACACTGGGTTCGATTCTCAGCACTGCATATAAATAAAATAAAGGTCCTTGACAACTAATAAAATGTAGAAAAAGAAAAAAGAAAGACATTCTTCCTTAGGAGGATTTTTTAAAAAAACTATGAAAATAAAATATTTTCAACTGGGGATAAAGCTCAATGGTAGAGCACTTGCCTAGTATGCATAAGACCTTGCATTCGATCCCCACCATTAAACTAAACTAAACATGTTTAAAGCATAGATTCATTGAAATAAAAAATATACTAAGAATCAAATCATTTTATGAGTGTATATAAATAATCTATGTAAATCTGTTTTATATCACAAAGACACAAAATGACAGTTTATTTACTAAAATGCAAGAAGAGTGAATCATAAAAGATACTGCAACTAGTCAACAAACCAAAGCTAGTAACTCTTTAACACTAAGGATTAGATGTAAATCTTACCAGGAAATGAAGACCAGCTGTGCAATATTATGTCTCCAGACCTCAGCTGTCCTTTAAAGTCAAAAACCATGGTATTTACCCATGCTACAGGATAATGCTGTTGAAAAAAGAAATCAATGAATCAATGCTAAAAATGAACTTCAAGGTGTGAACATGTTTATGCCCTTTGTTTCAATGTTAGTTCTAGAAATTTCTGAATTCCCAAATGATTTCCAAAAAAATCACCCCAAATGAAAACAAAACATTATCTGCCAAAATGTTTAACACCTTTATAATGGCTAAGGAAAATCCTAAAGGCAAATTAATATACCACAATAAAACAGTATATTCATAAAATGGAATATACCCTATGGAATCTTTGAAAATGATGAGGAAATTTTAATGATAAAAAATGAGTGCTATAGTATCAGGTTATGCTTTAAGTACTTTTAGCTTATATAAATCTTAATGTGGGAGGAGACAATGTCTCTATGGTTTGTAGAATTCATTTATATAGCCAAAAAGGAGACACTGAACTAGTAGGTCTTTAATGAAGACATTTGAAGATTCATTAATTTGGCCATGATATATCAAAATCCTCATAAATACTCAAACACTTTGAGAAAAATCCTGAAGATAGAAATAAAAATTAAGAAAGTTACTTTATGTGACTTTTTAGTCATTAAAATTTATTTTTAGAAGAATATATGATAATAACCAGAGGAAATGCTTAATTCCCATGTTAAGAAAAAAAGGACACAATTTTTTTTTTTAATATTTTATTTTTTAGTTCTCAGCGGACACAACATCTTTGTTGGTATGCAGTGCTGAGGATTGAACCCGGGCCACACGCATGCCAGGCGATCGCGCTACCGCTTGAGCCACATCCCCAGCCCCCAAATTTTTATAAATAAATAGAGACTAGATTTTTAAAAACATAAAATTCATTCTTACTCCCCCAAAAGAACTTTTTTTAAAAAAAGAAAAAATTGAAAGACACTTGATTAAAAATACGAAATAGGAGATGAAAATATGAGAATAGATATATCAGCCTTTATTTAGGATTTCAAAATCCAAAAAGGTCTGAAAACTAAAACTTTGTTCATAACTAATGTGACAGTAAAGCTGGACAGAGATGACAAGAAGCTAATGATAGTCTTTATTTGCCACATTTAGCATGAATATTCATATATTTTACTCCAAATACTGATGTGTTTCACTACATATTTGTGCCCTAGACCTCATAAAGTATGTTGAGTGAGGTATGATCTCTAATCTTTCTAAAATACACAAAATTGTGAATTCTCAAATATATCTGGCACCTGGAATTTTGATTAAGAGATTGTAGACCAGTTATTTTGACATATCTTCATTCTCTTTTATCTCTATCTTCCAAAACATATTATACTTGTCATGAAACACATTATGAAATTTACTAAAATATGGGCTGGGGATGTGGCTCAAGCAGTAGCGCGCTCGCCTGGCATGCGTGCGGCCCGCGTTCAATCCTCAGCACCACATACCAACAAAGATGTTGTGTCTGCCGAGAACTAAAAAATAAATATTAAAAATTCTCTCTCTCTCTCTCTCCTCTCTCACTCTCTCTTAAAAAAAAAAGAAATTTACTAAAATAAATTTGCCAAAAGAACATGAATTAACAAAGCATAATCATAAAGATTTACTGACTTCTTGAAGACAGGTCTTAGAGACCAACACTAAATGATATAATTTAACTTATATTACTCAATTATTTCAAAAAGTTTTTAAATTATCCTATTGTATAAATAATTTTTCAGAAGTTAGAATATCATTACCACTTTCCCAGCTTTCCTGATGGTCTGATATTTAGAGGGATTTATAGTTTTTGTTGATTTCTTCGTTTTTACTTTATCCAAAACTGCATAAACCGCAAGACATAATCGAGCCATTCTTGGCAAGTCACAAATATTAATATCAAATTCCAGTAATTCATTCCAAATGTGATCATTTTTCCCTGATATCTCTGAGCTTACGATGGTTTTACACAGGAGCTCGGTACCATGAAAAAGACCAGCCCTGACATGAACCTGTAATGGGAGAGAAGAAAACAAATACAAATCATGAAAACTGTACCACCGAAACATGTCTTCTCTGGAGAACAAAGAAATGTGTACATCAAATTATGGAATGCCTGTTTCTCTGTAAGTCCATCACACTGTGATTGATTGGTAAGCTGTTCACCCAACTAGGCTTAGTTTAACTTGTTTTCATTAAGTAGGTAGAGCATCTACAAAAATCAAATATTGGTCAAAATACCAGGGGTGTTGATGGTTAAAACAGTGTTAAAGAAACAAACATAATAAACATAAGAACTACTCAGATGCTTAACTACCACTAACTTCATTTATTTGGGGTCTTGTCCGACTCTTCTGTATATCTGATAAAGAAAGGAGGAATGAAAAGGCTCAAAAGCTTATAATCTATGATTTTGTCATTATAAGTCAAGAGCCAACTAAGATATTTTATCTATACCTATGATTATCCCATACATCACTGTTCTTCATTTTTGCCCTAAAGGATCACATTCAGAACATATGTAAAATTTCTCAAAAAATTTTAATCAGTCACTTGTATATATATTTTTAAGTTATGACCTAATTATCTTCAATATAAATGTGAGTGGCAAAAGTAGAACTAAAAATAAAGAAATTGCCCAATGATACACTTTTAAGATCAAAAATAACTAAAAACTATGTTATGGTGGCATATAAAGCTACCAGTATGCCAAACACATCTTAACAGGAAAAGGATAGCTTGCTTAATAAACAGTATTAATTTTATTTAATTCCATCAAAAATCATCACAAAAGATTGAATATTTTAAAATCATTAAAAGCTTGAAAATTGGGCTGGGGGGCTGGGGATGTGGCTCAAGCGGTAGCGCGCTCGCCTGGCATGCGTGCGGCTCAGGTTCGATCCTCAGCACCACATACCAACAAAGATGTTGTGTCCGCCGAGAATTAAAAAATAAATATTAAAAAAAAAAAGAAAAAGAAAATTGGGCTGGGATTGTGGCTCAGTGGTAGAGCATTCGCCTAGCACGGGCGGGACCCGGGTTTGATCCTCAGCACCACATAAAAATAAAGGCATTGTGTTGTGTCCATCTACACCTAAAAAATAAATATTTTTAAAAAAGCTTGAAAATTACTTAAAAGCTATCAGAATAACTGCAGAATGTGTTACAGGTTCAGGGAGGTCTATGAACTATTTTATGAACTTCTCTGTATTTGACATTAGAGGGGAAAACAAAGATTTGCTTACAGTAAAAGAAGAAAATCGATTACTCCAAACATGGATGGATTATTAAACAGTAAATATTATAGTAACAGGGATTACAAAGGATTACTAAAACACCTGTAAACATATTCCTAGGAATTTATATCTGAACATATTAGTGAATTCTCTTCAGCTTCAGAAAAAGGGGTGTTCCTTCTATTCAAGTCTCTGGACCCCATTGTGCTCCAACTTCCCAAGTACTCTAATTGTGCTCCTTTGTCCTCAACATTGGGAAAAGTTCCCTCCTCTGCAGGCTATTAACTATGTGAGTTGATATTAAACTCAATCAAAAATCATCCCAAGAAGCTAACATCATCACCTGCTTTGTACTATGAAGAGAATGGCACCTGTTATCTATTTAAACGCTCTCTTTCAGTCCATCATGAAATATATATATAAAGGGAATACAGATTTATGATATAATTTTAAATGAAGAATGAGATAAATCAAAATACTATTAAAAGCATGTTCACACTATGATGAAGTGATGGAAAAGAATATGAATAATAATTTATACTAGAATGACTTGTCATCTCTTAAATAACCTTTGATTTTGTTATCTTTAAAATATTTTAAAATTAATATTCTAGAAAGTATCATAAAATATGCTCCAAGTTTAAAATCCTCTATATAGACAAAATGCCCAAACCCATCCAATTTAATGAAAGCATGAATAAAAACAGAAATTATTTTTTGGTGTTATGGTACTTTCCCATGTACTCAGAAATGAGTTTAAAAATCTAAAAGACTTTTGGTTTTGGTTTGTAAAGATGGTAAGGAACATTATAAAGAAGGATTTACCCAACAACACTTTTAGGAAATCTTTACATCCACCTATATGCTATGAGTATCTATGAGATACTAACAACACTAGCATTTTTAATAGCCAACATAGACCACTAGACAGAACAGGAATGAACTCCCCCGCACCCCAAGAGGGTCTTGCTATTGTTGCTCAGGCTAGTCTTGAAAATCCAGATTCAAGAGCTCATCTGACTTCTAAATTCCTTTAACTCAAAATCTCTACTCCTTTCCCTCAGCCTTTCCCAATAACACCTTGCATTTGACTTCCCCATGTCTTAGCACCTCCAGATCACTAGTTCTCACACCTCACTTTCCAACAAACTTTCTCTTCTAACTCACCCCAACATTTCCACAGGAAAATAGACTTGCTCCCATCGAGGCCTCTTTTAACACTGATTTCAACAACCAACAATCCACTTCCCCACTTCTCCATCAGCTTTTGTCTCTCTGCAAGCACCTGTCTCTCCTTTTCACACTCATCTAGAAGTCCACACCCTGGATGAGCGCAATTACCTGCTTCTTTTCCATGCCACATGATTCTGGGCAGAAGCACCAAGACCAACCAATTTTAAATGTAAAATTATTATTTCATCACTAGAAAAATCATTTCTTACTCTTCTTTCCTTCACTGATCAGAACTTCTAACGACATTTACTCTGTAAGGTAATAAGCCTGTAACATTGAATAAAACTACACAATTTCTTTTGATGCCCTGTTTAAGCTTTTTTGTCAGGTTTCCTGTTACTTCAAGATGACATGCTGATGTGACAAGATTCTTCCTATCAATTTATTCTATTTGTAAGGTACAGAACATTAGAACAATGAAATACTATTCCACCGTTACTCATGAGGAAACCATGTCATTTGGAAGATCAAATTATATATCGAAAATAAGAATCCAATACTTACTAAAGAGAGATACACTGTTGTTACTAAATAGTGAGCACAGGGTATGTGTTGGGATGGTATAGAAAAGCTTGAAGAAAAAAATATTTTTCCTGGAAAATGCAGGTTATTTCATAGGCACCTGACACTCCATACATCTCCATGAAAGGCAAAAAGAGATGGGTAGGAGCATCATCTACTCACATTATGAATCTCTAAGATAACTAACTCTACACTAGGCTCAGTATACATTTGATCTAAATAGACACAAAAAAGTGTCTGTTGCACAATCCTACCCCAAGCCCAGTTTTGAATAAAATTACAGAATTTCCTGAAGGATACACGATATAGTTCTTTGGCAAGTTCAAATATTAATATTCAGCTAAAGATAAACATCACAAGGCTGAGTATGGAAGTTGGACCAAATTAGTTTTTTGTCTCATAGAATGACTTTTTTTGTAATTGCATAGTGATTATGATATTTTGTATTTACCTAATGAAAGATATTGTAGGAAACAGATATGTAAAGCATTGTTTTACCTACTACAATGATACTGGCAGCAGTGCTATGCTTAACACATCACCCACTGTCTTCCTCAGAAGAATCTGGCTGCATGCAGTGGTGCCTGACTGTAATCCCAATAACTCAGGAGGCAGAGACAGGAGAATTACCGAGTTCAAAGCCAGCCTCAGCAAAAGCGAGGCACTAAGCAACTCAGTGAGACCTTGTCTCTAAATAAAATACAAAATCGGGATGGGGATATGGCAGAGTGGTTGAATGCCTCTGAATTCAATCCTTGGTGTCCAACAACAACAAAAAAAGGATTCACTAAACTCTCAATTTATGGACTCATGAGCTACAAACTCTTGAAGAACTAGGTTTCTTAAATCTTATTGCAATCTAAATATTATAACTGATCAAGTTTTCCCTTTGCTTTGTCCACTACTAGAATACCAAGCAGAGGGCCAAATATGGAGTCCACATCAAGTAATTAATAAGATCAAGAAGGATCTTATTACATACATACCTACTGAGAAAATTGCTAATAACATTTTTTTATTTGTTGCCAGTTAAATATCCTCACTATTTTTTAAAAATTCAAAACTGTATATTGTATGTTAAAAAAGAGAAAGATGAAGAGTGGGAGAGGGAGAGAGAGAGAGACATCACCTCCAATCACCTGTAAAATATTATTAAGTAAATCATAAATAAATAAAACACATAATATATTTTGCATTTGTTGTATGAGAGTTGAAAAATGGGAATTTCAGGATAAAAATGGCATTTCTTATTCCTAGAGATCTTACAGATGTATGAATTTGTTACCTTGTATATATGGAATTTAAATATAATAAATTTGGGCTGGGGATGTGGCTCAAGCGGTAGCACGCTCGCCTGGCATGCTTGCGGCCCGGGTTCAATCCTCAGCACCACATACAAACAAAGTTGTTGTGTCTGCCGAAAACTAAAAAATAAATATTAAAAAATTCTCTCTCTCTCTCTCTATTAAAAAATTCTCCCTCTCTCTCTCTCTCTCTCTAAAAAAAATAAATATAGTAAATTCAGAAAATTACAAGTAAAAACAATAAATATTTTTCAAAGTGTGTTGATAAAGACAAGCTATTTCAAATAAATTACTTAGCATGTTTTGTTGTTTGACAAACTTTAAGAAATAACAAGTATCCACCATATAAGTTCTAAATAAATATTAGCTAATAATATTTGGGAAAAAATAATTGATATAAGTAGATCAACAAACTTCTGGCAAAATTCAGAGATAGAAAAATAAGGTAGTATTATGGTTAAGCTGTCTATAAAGCTGGGGCAGGGGGGACTCTCAAGTACAAAGGGCTAGAAAACTCCTATACTGTCTGTGAAAAGCCACAGCAAAGAATATAACCTGGTAAAAAGTAACAATGAAGAACCAGCAAAACTTGGGTTTAATAACAATAAATTTACCAAAAAAAAAAAAAACTTGAATATTCTGAAAATTTTACTGTAAAAATGAAATCACTATTTAAGAGTCAAATTGTGATTTATTGACATCAAGGAATTAAGATTA